ACACACGCTGTCACAATCAATAGTACATTATACGTTGCCACAGTTTATCACCGCTATTCAATGCGTCGTTTTAAAAAAAACGCGGCGTTACACATTTAAGAAGGGAATTTAATTCCAACTCACGTGGCAATGGACGCCGTCGACTGTTTACGTTTCCACGGCAACGCAACCCTCCACCCCCCCCTCCCGTCCTAGGTCACGTGCTCACCTAACTACGGAACGCGTTTTGCAGTCAAACTTTTTTCTTTTTGAAATGCCAAACGCGCCCCTGCCTACGTGTCCATGGCAACGGAGTTATCAAACACGAGCCTGTAACAGACTGTCGGGGGCAGGTTGCTGTTAGTGAGTTCCACCGATTAACGGCGGCAACGGCACACGAGGGGGGTTGGGTGGCTAACACCACGCCCGGCCGCCTTTGTCTCCCCCAGTAGCGATGTTTACTTTACACCGTACCAAGTGTTCGTTTGAGGCCGAGCCGATCTAGGGGAAGGCCCGGGACCGGTTCGGATAATCGTCACCGGTGTGTTGGTGGCCGTGAGCGGGAATCGAACCGGGGTCGCCGGGTTCGTAGCGCTAACCGCTGCACCACCGCTCCCCACTTGTCACACCTCACGCCCCGCCCCCATCAGACGCGGCGCCGTCGATTGGACGGCCTGGTATCACGTGACGACGGCGACGTTTTGTGATTGGTCCAAAGTCTATAAGCCCCACGTGACACCGCTAGGGGCGTTGCCTTGGCGACGGTTTCTACGCGTACACGGCATGGATTTAATTTAAACCTCCGGTCGTACAAACCTTACACGAGTGGGGGTTTTAAATTATAAATATCTCATTCTATTTACGTGGTGGGCAGCAGAGGGCAGTGCAGCAAAACCCATCGTCACCAGCCGTCATGGTGAAATAACGTCCACAACCAGCAACGGCGTGCGGGCAGAGGGAGAGTCTCTACTCATCCAGCAGTGGATCGCTGTGCACATGCTGTTGTTGCACGTCCCATGCTCCGCGGTCACGTATATTGGTGGGCCTTGGGATCTACAGGAGTGTGCGTGTATCGTTAATGAATGATTGATTTACGTGTGAAAAAATCTACGAGAAAAAATATCTCTGAAAAAAAACGGGGAATTGTTCAATAAAAGGCAGTAATCACCATGGTTACATCTGTGTCAAGGAGCTTGCAGTGAAACGCACACAAGTGGGTGAAACGCATTCTTAGTTTATCATAGCGTGCGTCAAGGTAAGCAGACAGCAACGTTTGAAACAAAATCTAGTGTAAAGTATAGTGTAGTATATGTGTGTGTTCATATTCTTGGTTCTTTCGGTAAAGTCACGTAGAAGGGAAATCAAATAATAAAAATAAAAATACAATTCTATTTAAATATTGCTTTGGTTTTTCACAGCAAGAAAATTTTCTTGCTGTGGTTTTCACACCTGATGATGATTGCTTGTGTTGCAGTCGAAACGTCGTGAGAATTTAATTTTTTTATTTCCCTTCTACGTGACTTACCGAAAGAACAAAGAATATGAATCCCTGCAGTCACGAAAGCTTTAAACCGAAATTTACATTTGTATGTTTAACTTATTCTTGGTTTTTTCGGTAAAGTCACGTAGAAGAGAAATAATAAAATAATACAAATATTAAACAAAGAATTCTGACGACGTTTCGACTGCAACACAAGCAATCGTCATCAGGTGATCAATCATCAGCAGGTGATGATTGCTTGTGTTGCAGTCGAAACGTCGTGAGGATTGTATTTTATTATTTCCCTTCGACGTGACTTTACCGAAAGAACCAAGAATATGAATCCCTGCAGTCGCGAAAACTTTAAATCAAAATTTATGTTTAACTTCTTTCGCGCCGTACGTGGCCAATTGTGCTCATCGGACGTGTGAGTGTCTGGATGGGTAGGCGCTTTGCCACGTGGTGTTTGTGTTCGAGTGACAATTCCCAGACGCTTGAGGGCTCATTGTAAGTTAATAGGTACCCGATGTGCGTGTCCGTGGCAGACAAACACGGGCTTGAAGAGCTCATTAATGGGACAAAAGAATACTTGAAGGTTCCATATTCTTAGGTTTTTTCGGTAAAGTCACGTAGGTAAAACATTAAAATTAATAAAAGTAAAATAAAAAAAATAAAAATCACGACGTTTCGGAGGCAACACAAGCTTCCGTCTTCAGGTGGAAGTTTGTGTTGCCTCCGAAACGTCGTGATTTTTATGTTATTTTACTTTTATTAATTTTAATGTTTTACCTACGTGACTTTACCGAAAAAACCTAAGAATATGAATCCTTGCAGTCACGAAAGCTTTAAATCTAGAATTAATACTTGAAGGTCACGTCGAACGCACCAACCACAGCAGTAGTCGGTGTTGTAAACAGAATGACGGGGAAGCAGTCGCAGTTGCTTTAAGGGCATTTAAACTCTAATGTTAAAGATCTCTACTTTGGCAGACAGCCACACAGCATATACACGTGTCCACAAGAATTTGTTTAAGTTGTTGGTGTAGTTAACCAATGTGCACCGTGGCTTGTGGCTTTTACCCTACAGTGTTGTTCCGTTTCGTTATCAAAAAACCCGGACAGCACAGTTCCTGCACCGAGATGAGAGGTTATTGCTATGAGTTTGTCCAGGAGCCTTGCGTTGCTACCCTGTACACACGTGGCCGTGAGTTTGAAGTGGCAGATGTGTGTCACACTCTTGTTCCCCAGGAGTGTAGGATGAACAAAATCGTGCTTTTTGAATATTATATTGCCGCTGTATTCAGAAGCATTTTGGTTGTTGTAATGACCGAAAATTTTACCCCAAACCAATATGCAGTCTAACGCCTAATTTGAAAATAAACAAAGGTCTGCGATTGGTAGAAAGAGGCATTCATGGTGATTAGTCGGGAGGCAGACTGTTAACGAGTTTGGAGGAATAGGTTTGAACGAGATCGATTGGAAAACAAAGAGAGTATCCATTAGAGGGGAAGGACAGGGATTGACGTCACAAAGCTCTGCTCCTCCCCCCTCAAACCATAATTACATTTTGAAAATAAAACATGCTTCAAATCGCTTTAAACTATTGTCATTGTAGTGCGTATTTAATGTGGCGCTGCACTCTGATGTTGTAGGAGTGTTCTTATAACAATTAGTGTTATAACAATTCTATATTTATTTAAAGTTGCGCATTTTGATGTGACGTCACATTTCTCACCTCTCCCCCTCATCACACACCGTCACAAATGTCTGACCCCCCCCTCCCCCCTAGGTGCGTGACGTCATTTATGGACGGCCCCAAAGCAGCCCAAACCCCCGGGTCTGCGTGAAGGGGCGGGGCTTAAGCATAAAGAGGCGGGGCTTAAATGAAAGAGGCGGGGCCTAAAAGGGAAAGGCGCCTTGCAGCCTCGTCAGGGAGGAAAGGTTGGGGCCTGATCAGAGTGGAGTTGGAGCCTTAGAAGTAGATGCGAATACTAAAGATGAAGAGTGGTTGGGCCCTCAAGAGATTGAACGTCCTTGTTGAGTTACGGTGATTGAAGTTTAGAATTATACTGCAGCAGGCAATATAGATTTAGAGCTGCAGATGCAGCCACAGGCCAACTAGTTGTGGTTCAATGCTCAAACCTGATAAAGATACCCTGAGTTATCTTTATTTGTGGGCCTGAAACAGTCGTGGAAATTGCACATTTCCATGGTGGGGATTACTCTATATGCATCATTGCACAATAAGATGACCACAGACCAACAAAGGCCGTTCTCTTGAAGTTCACATTCAATAGGTTCTCTACTGCCCCCTTAGTCTGGACCTCCCTCCAGCAGAGGTCGCAACCGGGTACCCGATACCCGTACCCTACCCGATACCCGGCTACCCGATACCCGGCCGGGTACGGGTACGGGTACCCGTTTGCGACCCTGGTGCGGCCGGGTACGGGTAGACCGTGAGTCATTGGTGAGTAACTGTTTGTCACTCTTCTTGGTTCTTTCGGTAAAGTCACGTAGAAGGGAAGTAATAAAATAATAAAAATAAAACATAATAAAACAATTCTCACGACGTTTCGGCCACAACGCAAGCAGCCGTCCTCAGGTGAAAACCAGGTCTGTCGAGGCGACAGCGTCTGAATGAAACAGCACACGTGCTTGGAGCATATATATAAGCTGGGTTGGAAGGGGGGACACTCATTTCCCAACGTCTTGTCTCTTCTCACAATTCAAGTTCCTAGAATCAACCCACCCGCGCCTGCAACATGGCTTCATCCCAGAGGTCGCAATCGGGTAGCCGATACCCGTACCCTACTCGTACCCGGCCGGGTACGGGTAGGGTACGGGTACGGCCGGGTACGGGTACCCGTTTGCGACCCTGGTGCGGTCGGGTACGGGTAAGGAATCAAAACCCGTTTACGACCTCTGCCCTCCAGTCATCTGTGCTACTGACTTCCTGCTCATGTCCAGACTCGAGACCTATTATCCTTTGCCCATCTCTGCTTCCTTTCCCCAAGGTGCGCGTCCCACTGTTCTGCAAAGCAGCGTGCATTGCAGTTACATTTACATGCTATATACAGTACATCCGAGGAGTATTATAAAGGTAATTTCATGTACGTTTGTGGAGCTTATTTAAACAAATTAATGTTGACATTAATGTGCACGTTTTTACCATCCTTCGCGCTTTCATAAATATTTCTGATATTTCTGTCCCGATTTTGCCGCTTTGCCATAGCTTATCAACATAATACATTCTACAGAGGGGTTTTTAGATTTGTGGTCACTTATCTGATCACTTTTTGCTTGAGAATATAGTAAGTAGTACATTATTACAGAGCCATTCAGTCGCTATATAGACGTAGCAGTGCTGTAATGTATTTTATTACACTTTGTCAAACATAGGAGTGAGACAACACTAACAAATTAGACTTGTTTGGCAACGTTTGTGCGTCATTTCACATGTACCCGGTCTCCAGTATTCTCTTTGATTTCTAACCGACAGCTGTGTAATGTAAAATGGTTGTCATTGTCTTATAAACATCACGTAAATTGTATATGTTTAATAGTTTTGTGAAACAGAAAGCATGACAATAACATTGCAGTACATTTGTTCGGTACTGTGCTCTGCTAATGCAAATGATAATGAACATACGTTACTGGTCATGAAGTGTTTTATTGCTTAAATGGGGAAGGGGAAATCACATGTTTTAAAATCGCATAAAACACACACTTATTTGTAATGCCTAAATCTGCACTGTACTTCTAAATTCAGTTAATCGTATTAAGATAATAATCATTATTTCAATGACAGATTTATGGGCAAAATATTACACTTAAGTATTGAGTGTAAATTTGGAGCTCCTTATTTTTTTTTATGAACACGTTTAAGATATTGACTAGTTCTCACGTGATTTGTGAATGTATTCTTGGTAAATTTAATAGCTCTAAATATATAGCAGTTGTCTTGGAGCTTATTTGAACGGAGAACATCATCACACTGGTCATACTCCACAGGTTAAAACGTCATGATGTTTGGCCGTGTTAAGCAAAACACATTGACCGCATGTGTGCATGAATGACTGCGGTGTGAGTAAAACATTCGATATTTGTTGTCTCAGACACCATTACTGGCGTTGATGGGTCTCTCGGCATAAAACAAGCCCCACTTCTGATCTCCCGCTTCGCAGCGCTCCAGCTTCTTGCTCCAGCCGTCCACGATGTACGAGTAGTCGTCTTCAGAGAATTCCTAATGTTCAACGCATTGTGTTATACGTAGAATTCTGTATTGTGTAAAAAAAACCGCAAGTGTGCAATTTCACGTAAACCTATGCTGTTTTTGGAACACTTACAAGGCATATTGTTTAACCAACTGCCCACCACGCCGGCCCACACTCCCATTCCATGAATTGTTATAATTCAGGGGCATTTTTATCGTTTCTAATTTGTTATTTTTTATATATATGGTCTCTTTCATGTGTTCTGCATTGTTCTCGTTTGTTTCATTCTTCTCAAGTATAATTTGCATGTGCTTTGTTTAAAACATGTACTTGCTTACTCTCTGGGTCTCTCGGTAAAGTCACGTAGATAGAATTTTTTTTTAAATCACGACGTTTCGATCGCAACACAAGCAATCGTCTTCAGGTGAAAAACTACAGCAGGAGAATTGCTGAGGGAGGAGAAATATAGTTTTATTGCTGTATTTTTCACCTGAAGACGATTGCTTGTGTTGCGATCGAAACGTCGTGATTTTTTTTCTTGCATTTTACTATCTATGTGACTTTACTGAAAAACCCAAAGAGTATGAATTCCTGCAGTCACGAAAGCTTCAAGTCAAACACGTACTTGCTTTTTACACGTGTGAGCATAATCGATGTTTATTGATTGACTGATACATGCCTAATTGTTATAATTAGAATAAGAAATAAGAGAGTCAGACAGGACAGCTTGAGTAATTTCTTCTGCCACTCTTATACATTGCTTTATTTCGGCTTTAGAGCCTTTGGCATTTACACTGAATCTTAATCGTAAACAATGTCTGGTGTGACAGGCAATTTGCAGTGAACCACAGTTCTTAAATACACTGATGGTGAATGTTACACATCTACGTTTTAGTGATATTATGCATGTCCTCATGTGTTAACGCATGCGTGCGCAGGCTTTCTGCTTGACATATCTTGTGCTAATTTGCTTCCCGTATTCCACAAGTATGCGGCGTAACCTGGGCAAATTCTCCCATTTTCCGCCACTTTGTAAAATTGGAATTTTGCAATCGTGATGTAAAAACTACATGCGCTGCCGATTTGAATTCGCACAGGTTGTGACAGATAATGGGCTTAGTATCAGCAGGATAAACTAAAAATGGTGTGTAAGTTTGTAATGTGGGCCTTTTCTGCGTCTCACCTTGATAAACTCATCCTGAATGCTCTTGGTCCGTTCCAGCTCCTTGTTAAGAATGTCCACAAATTGATCCGTCCTGTCCTCAGCTCGAACATTCTGGAAACCTGCTTCTTCCAAAAACTAGGAAACACCATCCAGTTTTTTTCGTTAAGGGAAGTTTTTACAGTCGCGTTTTTATCTCAGACGATAGTGACATTTCACAAAAGCATTAGTTTTTTCGTTTTCATATGCAAAGCTTGGAGATGGCCCGGTGTTGCAATTGGCTGTCGTATCTATGCAGAAGTTGAATTTGTGTAAGGTCCCACATGTCAGCAAAAGGTGTGCAAGGAGATAAGAGCACATTTTAAGTCCAGCTAAGCTTGTATTTTGCCCTTCCCATTGTGAAATTGTGATATATTATTCGTTGCTTACCTTGCCATATTTGGACACAGAGTACAGGATGTAGCCCCTTTGTTTGACATAATCCTCAAACTTCGATGTCCAGGGTTTTTCTCCACAACAGTAGTCAGTGATCAGCAACTTTCCCCCAGGTTTTAACCACCTCTGGTATAAGGGGAGAAAAACGATCAACAGAATATGACTTAACGTTATATTTTCAATACATTTTGCGTTGAGCAGTAAAAATAAAGATTTCATATATATAAGTGAAATATATTTTATTTTTAACAATGCTTTTAATTAGAATAATAAATTAGTGAGCGTGAAAGAGGATTTTTCAAAATGTGCTCTTACATAAAACCTTTTAAAGAGGGCAAACTTGTCTGCAATGTGCAAGATGGTGTCGCGGCTATACACCACGTCAAACGATTCCTCCGGAAACTCCCGCTTGGTCGCGTCACTGATTTCAAACTGCACCTAGAAGCAGACATGAAGGGCATTTAAATGCACACGATGACAAAGGGACAACTCCAGGCCTAGCGAGACCAAGCACTGTTAACCTTTACACAAAACTTTAAAGGCTACATTTAATTAAGTACTTTGATTTTAAGAAATCACATTTTTCATAATTTTACAATTTTCAGTACAGTAAATGCAAATCCATTAACTTGTGTTGTACAATGAGCCATTCTGTGTTGGCCAGAATTGTCATGAATGCGACGTACCAGTAATGTGCTGTCTTCTGTGGCTCTCTCCATGGCAATTTCTACCATGTTAGAGGACAGGTCCATCCCAAGCACGTCCACCTTGAAGGCCTGTGGCAGAAGGTGGTCAGTCCTTTATAACTTGTGTAGTGACATGGCGGGATGTCACTGGGTAATGCCGGCCCGAGAGAGGCACGGCGTGCGGTGTAGCGACATCGCGGACACCACGAGGGTGTGGGTGCAGTACCGGCCCTAGAGGGGCTCGGTGAGCGCTGATCGATAGCGCTGGATGGCACCACGCTTGGCGTGCAGTGCCAGGCCTACAGGATAGGGTGTGGAAGTGCCGGCCATAGGAACGAGGTTACTAAAGGCCGTGGCACTCTGGTTGACCCGAGAGGACACGTGACCAGTTAAGTCTACAAAGGGCCCCATGTGGGGGCTAGGGGTGGTCACGTGGTCAGGGTCGAGATCCTGCTCGAGGATTCTGGAAGGTGGTCGTGGCCCTGGGCGGAGCCTGCCCTGCCACAGAGGATATAAGCCGGGTTCCCCAGAGGGACAGGCGCTGTTGTTCATCCTGAAGGAACCTTCGTCTACGTTCTACCGAGTCTCCAACACGTGGATCGGGACACAAGCTAGGGTCCGGTCCGTTGTAGCTAGTAACGGTGTAATTAGTGTAGTTAGCCTGCTGGTCACCACCATAAGTTGTTATTCTGTTAAGGGGTAGCTACCCCGTGTGTTGGCGTTAATAAGTGTGTTGCCTCCAAAGAGTACGTCTGCGACTCAGTTGAACTCACTACACTTGTATTAAGAGATGCGATGGTGAGTGTTGGTTTTAAAATAATCAAAACACATTGCTCCAAATATTGATTGAAAAATTTGTGAATGTTTAGATAGTGTATGTGAACGAAAGTATATGTAAATATCAATAAAAGCAAGAGTATGATATGTAATAATTATTCAATGTTTGTGTAAGGGTTTGCAATAAAATTGTCTGGAACTTTTTTTGTCAATTCAGTTCACGCAACACAAATGGCAAATCAATACTGCCAGATCCGTCTGAAAAAGAGGCATGGGACATAGTGAGGCTTACCTGGGCAAACAAGCAGAATAAATAATAACGGTACAAACAATATGATCAAGAGAGAAACAGGAAGGCAGCCACAAATGTAATCAAGGTACCTTGGCCATGTAGAAGTTACCACCTCCAATCCCACACCCAACATCCAGCACTTTCTGTCCCGCTTGCAAATCCAACAGTGATACAAACTCCTGAAACAAAAAAGCACAAACTTGAGTAGTGTAATATTGTTTTAAAAACTTGGTTGCTTTTTTGTCATTTAATGCTGGAACAAGCGGACTCCACTCGCTTACAACATAAAACATGCAATTGTAGCCTGTTGCTTTGCTTTTTTATTGAAGGAGAAGAAGATTGTATGAAATGTCTGAAATGCACACCTTGGTGGTATCAGGTCCTCCAGTGCTCACGTAGCCTTCACCAAAGATCTTCTCGTAGCGGAGGATGCCTTGCCGGGAATACTGCTTCCCATCCAGGAACTGCTGGAAGGTGGCGTAACCCTGGTGGCCCGCATTTTCCCGTGAGACCTTTTCCAGCAGCCAGCACACTTGGTTCTGATTCTTCTTCAGCTGCACACGAGGGTGGGTGGGGGGCGAGCAAGCATTGCCATGCATGCATGAGGTCGTGTTGATCTTTTCAAACTCTACGTGCTACTATTATTTCCTAAGTTTTTTTCAACAAAAATTCTGGTAATCTTTTTTTCATTTAGCAAAAAGGTAAGGTCTTTTTTTTTACATATCGTTATCAAATTTTATCGTGCTACATTTCTTTGAATTATTCATTGTATATTGGATACATTACAAATTTACTTCCATAATCAACTCACCTTGATGTATGTCTGCACAGATTTGGAAATAACCAACTCAAAGCCAAAGCTCTTTTCGTTCCCATTGGCCTGCTGGAAGCCAGCTTGCATGATGTGATTGTATTGAGCAGGTTTCCTGTAAATCGTGGGATTGAAGGTTCGTTTTGAATCACCTGCAGGCACAAACCATAACAGTTATGAATTCTTCAGTGACAATTGTATGAACACGCAAGCACATTAGACATGGCGATGAAACGAGGTCACCTATGTATTGAAAAACAACTGCTGTGTAAGAACATTTAGAAGCTATAGTATCCCTAATGGGGCTTACGTTAAGTTTTGTGATTTTCACATTTTTTGTTATATTCCATAAAAACTTTACCCCGGAAAATGTTTAACTTTATTTTGCATCAATAACATTCTAAGTAACATGAGTCTTAATATTGCTAATGTTTAAGCTTACATAATTGTAATATCTAGATGTACCACGCAAACGTATTTAACAATATAAAACAACAATTTATTGAACTAATGCATTTACGGTTTATTTTTATTTTTAAAAAAAGAATCAGTAATTAACTTATCGCTATCTCCATAACAGACATATGTACTGTATTTTCATACAGACACGGAGAGAATAGTATGTTACAAATTAGAAATCCACACGTCAACTGGATATGAGCAAACCATTTACAAAACAAGCCAGGTAGTAAGTCCACATGGAAAATTTGTATTTCATGCGTCGTGACCTGAGAGGCCCCGGGAGCTTCCGAGCTTGTTTGTGGGTCACCATCGCGCATATGGCGGCAAGATGTTAACTACCTTGCCTGGTATACAGGGAATCGTGGATTTGATCCCAACCCTACGGCTGTATATTTTGAGTTTGCATGTCTCTCTCCCCACAGTTGCGTGGACTTTTCTCCAGGTCCTCCGGGTTTTCTTTCCACATTTAGAAACATGCGTTTAAGAGTATTTGCCTGCGATACATTTCCACATGATAAGCCGCTTCGTTGAGTTATCATTTGTGAATGCCAGGTTGCTTCTGAAAAAGAGCTATATAGCTCAGTGGGCCTCACCTGGTAAAATAAAACAAATAGTTGTGTTTTTTAAAATAATACCCATACCAGATTGATGGAAGCAGGACTCGCGAAAGAAAAGATGACCTCCAGGACGCAACCAACGCAGCATGCTGTTCACCAGCTGTAGCAACTCCTCATCCGTTAGGTACATGAACAGCCAGTTTGAGAAAATCACATCGAAGCTGCGTGAAGAACAAGCATCACGATGGTGAGGTCTTCACGGCCAATGTCCACGAAGTCATAAGAAAAGATGACCTCCAGGACGCAACCAACGCAGCATGCTGTTCACCAGCTGTAGCAACTCCTCATCCGTTAGGTACATGAACAGCCAGTTTGAGAAAATCACATCGAAGCTGCGTGAAGAACAAGCATCACGATGGTGAGGTCTTCACGGCCAATGTCCACGAAGTCATAAAGGCTTGCCATCGCTATATTCTTCCGGATCATCCAACAGTTGCGTTTGATACTCCTGATTTCAAAGGACTGGCTGTAGAATTTCCTCTTGATAAGACCATTTAAATTTTTGAATTAAAGCTTTCGTGACTGCAGGGATTCATATTCTTGGTTCTTTCGGTAAAGTCACGTGACTTGACCGAAAGAACCAAGAAGATGAAGACCATTTGCTCAATAGGATAAAAATTCAATAGACGTCTTTTTTCAACAATTGCCTTCTAAGTCTTATGCTTTAATGTGTACATGTATAAGATGTCAGGAAATTTTGACGATGATGTGTGCCCACTTGCACATGTTTTTTCATCTCCTGTCGTAGTTCCTTTTTTAAAATGTAGTTAGAAAAAAATTAGCGGAAATTTAATGATTCATAGATTAATATAGCTTCTTAAGTTCATAATACATGAACCGATTTGTTAACGGGCAAATTGTTAAATTTATAACATAATTAGATATGGAGCCTGAAATTTAATTTGTTGGTACTTTTGCGTATCATGTTTTCAGAACTTTCTAACTGCCAATTGTATATCTGATATTAAAAACAATATAGTTTAAGTTATTTAAAAACAAATGACTTTTTGTCACGGAGTCTCACTCGTGTCGTGTCAGCAGTTTGAAATGTTGACCCACCAGAAACCCAATTCGGCCATTATCTACGACTGTCTGTTGCAATTGTGTACCAATGGAAACAGAAAAAAGACACGTGGCCTTCACGTTTACACTTTGTCTCACCGAGGGCGCGTTGTTACCTGCCGTACGTGCGGTTTTAAACGTGACTTCTGACCAACCCCCCCCCTCCACCCACCGCTATGCAAACAACCACACGCACGGTGCCACGTAACCAAAATGTATATTGTCATTTTGGCTGCGATTTTTTTTGCTACGTCGGTCTCGTAATGCGTCCCGGTCCTAAGCATATTTTACTGGCCGGCCGTGACCGGGAAGTTAACGCCCGCGGTGGGGTGGTGTGTGGCTTGTACAGAGTGTCCTGGAAATGTACACAAATGTGCACGTGCGTTGCCATCGGCGACATTATTGACGTTTGCTATACAGTTCTGGATATAGATGTATTGCGCAAAGTCAGAAATAGAGGCCGTTTCGAATGTGTTAATGCTTCGTGACAGATATTAATCTTTTGCGCAAACATCATCGGGCGTTTGAGAGAAGTTTTGACATTCGTTTTGTTTGCTGTCATTCGTTACGATTGACGTGTGTGTGTGTGTGTGTTGCAGTTGTTTGTAATTACTGAAATATCGTCTGCTGCCTTCTGTATTCACAAAAATGTCATAAAAAATTTTTGAAGGCAAGATATGTAAAAAAAAGAACACGCTTATTTGTTTTACTTTATAATTCCGGTCTTAAATCATCATTTATTTCCTGCTTCTACCCACATTTCTTTCTGGCTACGGAACAATATAATGTACTCTTAAAACGTATGTATATATGTTGAACTTATTTCACATCGCGCGTAGCCAACCGTGCTAGTCGGATGTGCGGTGGAAAAGACAACAAAACCTTAACGCACGAAGCAGTTCTAAAGACGTGAGTTTTCAAAAGTGCAAAGTTAGCATCGGTGATTTGTATAAACCATTTCGGACCTGTTTTCTGGGAACTGGAGCTGCGTGACATCTGCCTGCAGGAATTTTATGTTCCCATGGTCTCTGTTCAGCTCTCGATTTTTGTCCAGAAATGTCTGCATGAAGTCCACCGCTGTCACGTGACTCGCCTGCTTGGCCAGGTGTCCAGTGAAACGACTAGGACACGAAGAGAGACGTGGAACAACATCGGACGCTTGTGGTTAAATATACTTCGCGATTTCTCATTCGTGGATAGAGAGCGCGATGGTGAATATACGCTCCTGTGCAACTTACCTTTAGATTTGCAATATTTCACACGCGTTCCTTTAGGTATTAAGTGCGCACACATATGCTCAACATAACATTGATGTATTAATACCATCCAAACATATCTTGCTTGCATGCACAAAAGTTTAAAGATCCTAGCTGGATAAGTTGTTGTGGAAAATTACGTTAGCAAGTGCATTTTGGGACAGACACATTGCACAAGTGGGCTATTGGGTCAGCTGGAAACATGCATGGCCACTTGTCTTCCCAGTGCCCTTGATTGCACACCGTACCAAGTACAGTACTTATAAAATGCGTCCCTAGAGGGGTTACAGTCCCGCGACAGATGCCAATTGCCACCGGTCAGTGCCGGATCAGGAATTTGAATCCAGATCACTTTAATCATCATCCAGTTCCCTAGAAGCTATGCCACCACTCCATAGAAATGCAGCAATGCTTGATCTTTGGCTTTATAATCTCTCTGAGTGCCTCTCTTTACAACTCTTCAAATCATGTCAGTGGACATGAGAGCCTGAGAGTTGAAGGTTAAAGAGCTTGGGGGAGGTGGTAATGTGGAGTCGAGGTGGTAGGGGGATTTCAGCAGGCCGGTGAATGTATAACGAAGAAGTTCCGTGTCACATATTTGGGGTTCTCATACTGTCCTAGAGTGCAGAAAGCCTGCACTTTGGCGATTTGCAGATCAACTTAATCCACCGTTCCTTTTTTTGCGCATCAAGCGCAGGGTGGAATTCCTGTTTTTGAAGCTTTCGTGACTGCAAGGATTCATACTCTTAGTTTTTTCGGTAAATTCACGTAGGTAAAAAATGTAAATTAAAATTAATAAAAAATAAAATAATAAAAAAATCACGACGACGGAGACTTGTGTTGCCTCCGAAACGTCGTGATTTTTAATTCTTTATTTTTATTAATTTAAATTTTTTACCTACGTGACTTTACCGAAAAAACTAAGAGTATGGAATTCCTGTGTCTGTCGCTAATCTGTAGGGGAACACACATCTCAGATAACCTTTTGTACTCGTTCACCACGTGGCATCACCTGACCGGCAAATTTGCCTGAGCTGTGCATTTCTCGTGCAGCTGTTAAGAGAAAATTGTTCAATATCTGATAACAGCACCAAATCTGATGGACATGTGGTTTGTGGTTTCGAGTCTCGCGGCCACCTTGCTTAACACTATGGGACGTATTAACCGTATATAATACGTGCCATCAATTTCGGAGTGGATGTTAAGTTTCGAGTTTAGTTTAACCAGGTGAGAACTCAGGAGAACAGGATAGTCTCATTTGCAATAGTGAGCTGGGTCACCATAATAACAAAAGCAAAGCAAATCATTTGCAGCGATGTAGCAAATAGAAATCAGAGCGAAAACAACTGTGTCGCATGAGAAATCAAAACTATTGCACGGAAATAAATGAATTGTGCTGGTAATAGTTCTTTAGTTAATTAATATGAATTCCAGATAATAATAATAAAAAAACATACTCTTTGCGGCAGGGCAGGTGGGAAATATTTCCCATCTACTGCGTGGACCAGAGGCCACTTGAATGGATTTTAGATGCAACTCTGTGGTGTCTGCTCCCGTCGGGCCATTCTCTAACATGAAGGGTTGTGGGGTGCAGCTGTCCAGGTCAGCATAAAAGAAGAATACTGAAGGTAGCTCTGTGACATCATGAGCCGCTCTCTATCGCGAAGGCTTGCACAGCCCTTGCAAAAGACCCGAATGGACACTACATCTGGTAACACGGACAATAATTTTGGGTTAAAATTGGGGACAGAAGATGAATACAATTTTATAAACAATCAGGTGAATTCTAGAAGTTCAGGATCACTTGACAGCAGCCACACATCCCCTATTACTGTCGTCGTTCTGCAGCGCCACTGCAAGGCGTCAGCAGAGCCCCCCCCCTCTCTGCTCTCTCTGTTCACGCACCCAATACCAGCGCCCAGTTCGAGCACTTTGGCGTCGTCGATGCTGGGCAGCAGCGAGAGGATCTCTGGCTTCTCGAACTGCGAGAGCGTGCTCGCGCTCGAGTCCAGCATCATCTCCTCCACCGTCGCGCCCTTGGAGTGAATCTTCCAGAACTCCATCATCGTCTTGCGAACTTGCAGTCGAACCGAGACAAAGACAAAGATTCCCCCCCGTAGGGCCTTAACGGACGGTTGGGGCAAGTGCCGGAATGGCCAACACAACACTCGGCCGCCTCTTTGTCGCACCAGGTACTCATTTGAGGCTGAGTTGATCTAGGGGAGGCCCAGTTCAGATAATCGTCACTGGTGTTGGTCGTGAGCTGGGTTTAGTAGAGCAGTGCGCTAACCGTTGCAATGCCGCTCCCCACAAACCAAATGCACACACACATCAATTCACATTAACGCGGGCTGTCCACAATAGCAGTGACACGCCTGACTCAGTACGAGAGCGTTTGCTTCACTTTGGAGCGTAACTTCAATACACCGCACTAACCTGGCCCGCAGAAGTGGTTATCACAGAGCCGCCTCTGAGATACTTTCAATTGACATTTGGTTCACACAGCAGAGGGCAGCACTCTCCCACCCGCCCTGCCACTGTCAGTAAAGGTTCAGCGCGCGACCATCAACCCAATGCATTTATTCACAATCAACGTTTTTGGGTTTAGATCGCGTTATTTATAAATGTGTCGTAACCCTCCACCACCCGACACGGCCAATCGGTAAAAAAGTGTCACGTTGACAAAAGACAAATAGTTCACTGCTTTAGCCCACCATTCTGCCGAATTGACCGATGATGCTGGATGCAATTACCAGCGAAACGTCGTACTCAAAAATTGTAAATGTTGTGGTTTCACGCTTCAACACACCGGTGGGCTAAAGCAGTGAACTATTTTGTCTTTTGTCAACGTGACACTTTTTTACTGATTGGCCGTGTCGGGTGGTGGAGGGTTACGACACATTTATAAATAACGCGATCTAAACCCAAAAACGTTGATTATGAATAATATTGGTCGCGAAAGCCTACGTGTTAAACCGATGCATTTAATTCAATATCATGGGACCTTTTTGCCAGTATCAAATAATGATTGGGGTTTACCCTTTCTGGCAATAAAACAGGTGTTAAGATGTTCAAACACCAAATAGATACTTTTTGGGAGGAATCAAGTCTACATTAACCACACGTACTTGTGGTGAACATGCAAACAAAACATGCTCTGATAATTCTCTTGGATTTCATAAACTTACGTACAGAACCACATTTAATGCTACAGTGTTTTGTGTGAAAGTTAATTTACTGGGAATGCACTGACCATAAATGCACTTTCAAGGACCAAAACATTCTATGAAACCACTCCGCCTCCGTTTTACTTGTGACTTCCCCTTATAGAACTAATCGTTGTCACCTGTACATCAACTCATAGCTGTCTTCCTCTTTGGATATCCGGAGAGACCATCACAGGACTGTCTTCATCCTGAAGGTTTTCTTAAACAAACCCGCCAAATTAACCAAAAGGTCCGCTCAGTTCCTCTAACTCCCTCCTGTACCCTCAGAAGTGCCTCCTGGTTCCGACTAAATTTTCAATTTGCTATAACTGTTTTGGTTAAAACAAAATTCTGCGTTCCTGCTCTGAGTTTCTGGAAGAACTTGAGCTCTCATCTACAGCGTAGATGCCTCCCTTTAAAAAATAGCATGCTAACACTGTATATTCAATGCTATATGCCATCACCATCACGGACTGACCTGTGCGGTGAAATATGGTCAAACAATCTCCGTGACCCGCATGGCGGGTGGAAGGCCTTCATCCAGCAGTGGATTGACAAAACGCACATGTGTGTGTGTGTGCGTGTCACGTCGTGGGTGAAACATTCGTCGTTGTATACTGGTTAAAACTTTTCACCCGATAAAGGAATTTTATAAACGTGAGCCGGTGATTTGAGTTCTCATTCTCAAAAGTAGTTTCCATCGCCTCCTCCTCTGTGTATTATCTATGACATTTTACACGGACTGTCTAGATGCATTACGATGTACGATTGTACTGCATACGAATGTTAAACGTGTACCGTGTTACAAAGATGCCCCACTCGCTATTTCTTGGCCATATGTTAATGGTAACTCAAGAAGGACGTTCTGACAAACATTTTAAGTATGATTCAGTTTTGTACCCAAAATTATCGCGATCATCACAACAGTCGTTGCAGTTAAGTTGTATGACTCTCTTATGTTTAAAATTAGTGTATATTAAAACTGAAAACAAACACATCGTATGTAGTATATACAATAAACTCAATTCAATATACACAACGAGATACACGCAACTTGCTCGTATGGTGTGACATGTACTCACCCTCAGCCATGGTTATTTTGTTTCTGATGGGGGGGAATTATCGTGCCGTTCACTAAATTGTGAACACTGCGTCAGATGAAATGAATGGCTTCTCGCGTCCTGCTAAAGCTACGGCTCCTGAAGTTGTGTTCCCTCCCTCTCGGTTGCATCAATCGAATCAATAAGTTAAGTGCGCTTGGAAGAAAAAAAGTTTGAAAAAATTAAGGATGCCACCAACTCTGCGACTGAGAGAGAGAGAGACGCGACTCGCTCCCCAACAACAACCGAAAACGTGTTGCCTACGGAATTAACAAATGTTCCTGTCGCAAAAGAACACTGGCCTCGTTTATATATCGGTGGTTTGGGGGCAGATATTCAGTGCTGATGGTGTACAACTCTTCGCGTCGTGGCGCTCAAAAGGGGGATTAGGTTATCTTGATATTTTGTTGTAAATGCCCCTCCACCCCGAGCCAATGACCTTGATCTGGCTTTAGTTTGACTATGTGCAACATGCATGGTCGCGGCGAACTTCCAGGGAGACAAGTCTTTCAACCAACCCACCCTCCCCTAATCGCGACCCCGGGCTAAGTCCACACGCGGCGTGTACACCAGACATTGGCTACGCCATCGGCAAAAGTGACCCTCGATTGATCAAAGGTTGGGTTTGAGCCACGTCAGCTGTTTCGGGTGCTCTGCTTGTTCAAGGGCATCCAGTACGAGCATCGAGGGTAGCGGGGGGGGGGGCAGTTAGTTTCCCAGGCTGCTTAGAGCTTGCTTAACAGCATCATTGTACGTATCCTTTTAGAGTGAAACATTTTTTTTTTAAACAAAGTCCGTTTGTAAAAGTTAGCATCGGTCGCCAGTTCGGTCAGAGTCACCCAGATATTCAGATTACTGAGGTGAGATTAGCCGCGCTCACGTTCTGTCAAAAAAGCCTGCCTTGAGGACAACCGATGATGATGCAAAAGGGACCGGTGGTGTTGGAAGGGGGGGTGGGGGAAACGAATCATCGTTTGACGGCGACATCACTTGTTTAAGACGCGTGCCAAGCAGCCAGGAGAGAGAGAGAGAAAGAAAAAAGATCGCACGTGTGATGTATCATTGTACACCGTTGCCTGCCGCAAACAACAGGTATGGGGCCATTCATTCAGTACCTACGCATGGAGGAGAGAGGGGGGGTTAACCCAAATGCGTACGTTTGCATGGGGGGGGGGGGGGGGTTGAAGCCTCGATAATAATTTGTCTGCATTGGCCTTCAAATGAGTTAGATAGTCCGGCGGTGGACTATCTGTTTGCTTAAACACGTTAATCTTATTAATCCTTGATCGTTTTAAATATCGGCTGTTCTATAGGATTCGGGGGGGGGGGGGGGTGCGTCAAGCATACGTTCGCAGGTGGGGGAGGGGGGGGTGTAAAAAGTCCGCGTGCGTATAGGGAGGGGGGGGGTCAAGTGTTGACAGATTTTTGCGTACCTACTCAATGGATGGCCCCTATACTGCCAAAAATGCGCTGATGTATTACGTCATTTACTTAAAATGTTGCAACAGCTACTGTTATTATTTAATTTATTATTTCATCTTAGTATGTTATTATTTAATTTATTATTTTATCTTTAGACGTGACTTTACCGAAAGAACCATAGAGCAATTCCTGCAGTCACGAAAGCTCCAAATTCAAGATTGAACAGCTACTGTGTTAAAGAGAAGTCACGGACGAATTGTGCGCGAGAGGGCCACGTGGTTTCCCACTCCTCCTCACGTTGGTGCTCGCTTGCCTGTCGGTGCGAGCAAAGGTATTGCAGAGGTGGGGGTTGGGGGGGGGCTTTATCTTAAAGGGTTATTCATTATCTTGAGAACAGCTGATGATGCAAGTGCTGTAATTATGAAGCAAGATTTGGCGATGCTGTTTTGGCAGTGGTGCACAGGCACGATGAATAAAACAAAACCTTCAACAATATAGCGCTTGTTGCAATTGTAATGACGACTTGACACACTTCTCTTGAGATGGCACTTTATTGAAGACACGTTCACTTGACATCAGGCGGGGACCTCACTGCAACTGCCCCGAGTCTCCAGCACATCTCGCTTAGATATCGACCGAGGCCACGCCACCCTTCTCGATCATTCTCGCTGACTCTGGACGCTCGCTCCACCGGCAAACTCCACCGTCCTCTTCCGCCACCTGACCACACTCCCTTCTCGATCATTCCCGTGGCCACCAGTTCCTTCGCACTCACAACTGATACCCCCCTGTCATTACCTCCCGTGGCCACTAGTCCATTCGCACTGCAGGCTGATTCCCCTGTCATTACCTCCCGTGGCCACTAGTCCCACTCACACCGCATGTAAGCTCTACTGCAATTACACAATGAGGGACAGTGCCCAAAAATGTTGGCAATTATATTTAAAAAATCATGCAGTGCTATTGATGAATGTGTTGACTTTCGTCCACCCTTATGATGACTGATGATACACAATTACCCATGATGCTGCCATCATTGGTGAGTGCAGGACATTGAGCTTGAAATCCAGTCGGCCAGTTTAAACTCTCCATCTCCAGGCAGGGGGCTTGAAACAATGGTGATAGTTGTTTAAATCCCACCCCCATCCTCTGTCCATCCAGCGGTATCACAATCGATCAGCGGATCACGGTGGAGTCTGCCCAGCATAGAATTGGAGACCAAATACGCTCTTGAGGGGCTCTCTAGAGCGACCGCGAGTGGAGGCCCTTTCATCAGCAGTGGCAGGAACAAGCAATTGCAGGGCTGTACATTTACCTATTCATATTTACACATTCACTGTATTTACTTTTACTTTATTGTGCCAATGGGCATACCATATTGCGTTTTTTAATTATTATTAGCTATTACTAGGTATACTTTGACATACATTTAAAAAAAATTCATGGCGATTTAAGGTTTTGTTCTATTCGATTACATAGCATATCCTGCAAGTAATATGTTATACTCTCAGGGAGATATACAATGTCATAATTTTCTAAACCGTGGCCCTATTACCCACGACTCATATTATCCATGTCAGCTGTAGGGTTCGTGAAGTCTCCTGTTATCTACAGCCCTATTACTATTACATGCGGGGTTATCCCCACATTCTTACCCCAGTGGTTAAGAGGAGTAAAATCGTGGATAACCCTGCAGATAATAGGATCCGAGATATTGGACCCCCCATATCATTGTGGATAAGAGGAGTTCTGTAAATTGTGTGCCACTGGGAAACGTAATGCAGGGATTTAAATGTTGTGAAATATTTTTTTTGTCATAGGGAGAGGCTGAAATACAAACCTTGAATATATTTGTAATAGAGTGTATAAATACTATGAGAATCCACTGTACACAAGTAAATAAGGCGTTCCACACGAAAAATAAACGTTTTCAAAATGCCATTTATTAAATTGTTTTCATTGTATTTACAAAAGAAATAAAAGTAGACGTACTTTTCAATTTCAAGCTGTTCGTCATTATTATCTTAGGATATTTCGCTTTTTTTTCAGCAGAAATGTTTCCTTGCGAAATAAAAATGTTAAAAACGGGAAATACCTCCAAATTAAAATTGGAAGTTACAAGATGAGTCTGCAAAAAATTTACACAAATTTAGAAAGTAAAAAATGAGACTGCAACCCAGCAACACGTGGTCAAACACGTGGCTTGATTGAAGGTAGTTTCAGCTTCAATGCACATTCATATTCACGAAGCCTACTGGGGCTGAAATCAGCTGAGCCTTGCCCTTCGCCCTGAGCGACTAAACATATTTTTTTATTTCAGGATGATTCTAAATCAGTAAAGGAACTGCTTATCGAGGAATGCGTCGCAGTGCCATCACAGGAGTTACTGTGTATCGCTTCTGTTATGTTACAGCCGATGATCAAATGTCCACGAAGCTTTAGAGTTTGCGGTTTCCCCATGGCTTAATTTGGAGAGAACAATGTCCAATTGCCATCTATTTAGTAGACACGCAAAAATCTGTCAAAACGTGACCCCTCCCCCCCTCCCTGTACGCACGCGGACTTTTTACACCCCCCCCACCCACCTGCGTACGTACGCCTGACGCACCCCCCCCCCCCCGAATCCTATAGAACGGCCGATATTTAATCCACGCAAAAACGATCAAGGATGAATAATATTAACGTGTTTGAGCAAACAGATAGTCCACCGCCGGACTATCTAACTCATTTGAAGGCCAATGCAGACAAATTATTATCGAGGCTTCACACCCTCCCCCCCCCCGTTTCCTATGCGTACATTGTCAGTAGACCCCCCATACGCAAGCGGACGCATTTGGGTTAACCCCCCCTCCCCCCTCCATGCGTTCGTACTGAATGCATGGCCCCTAGGCGCAGATGCTGCTTGAGCTGGCCGACGATTGGCTTCACCCCTCTGCGGAAGCAGGCAAGCCGTCATCCTTCCCGGGAGAGGCACCGCTGAAATGCTCGGAGCAGATGCTGTTGATCTCCTCCATGGCCACCAAACGCAGAGACGGTGGGATGTCTGCTTCAGAGTTGACGGTGTTGTTCGATTTCTGGGCGAGCAATTAGAGGAGGGAAAACGAGCGAGTGTGTGAGAGAGAGAGAGAGATGGTGAGTGGTAATCGCATTACCTGAAAGTCCATTCACGGCAAAATTATAATACGACTCAAGATAATCTTTTGCACTGATAAATGCCTCAACTCCAAGCGCCATACATCACATCTCATCTCAAGCATTCGAAGGGCGCCCCCAGTGGCAATTGTCCCTGTGGGGCACAAGGTGACTGGCTCCTAACTTGCCCGCAAGTGGGCATTAGTCTGCTAGTGAGTAATCCCAATTAAGAAACTTACGGGTACATTTTCGAATTTAAAAACATTTGGACCGTGATGCCGGCACACAATAATCTACGAGTTCCAAATTACGTCTGGGGCTGTTTAACGTCCAATGTGACGTATTATGTATTAATGTCATCGGCGATTCCCTATCAATGTGATGAACAAGGCGCTCTCCTCCTCCCACCCAGCTTAAATACGCTGCCAAGCTTATCAGTGTTCATTGGAGCGCTGTCTTTCCGACAGCTCTGTTTCTTCACCTGAGGACGGCTGCTTGTGTTGTGGCCGAAACGTCGTGAAAATTTTATTTTATTATGTTTTATTTTTATTATTTCCCTTCTACGTGACTTTACCGAAAGAACCAAGAAGATGCATTAATGTAAATAAACTGCATCTAGGCATGATCATAATGCATCCCAAGTAAAGGAAGTAGTACGTATACATGCGCACAGGCACATGTATTTATGACAAAAGTAAGTAGGCTTGGGCAGGATATTGTCGCGAGAATGAATAATGGTGAATGGTCAAGGATAATGACAGAGTGGCGGGCAAGGAATGACACGTGTCTGAATATAAAATCCACCGCGGAGATGGAATGATGAAATCGCTGTTGGGCAAGTGACAGGTTGATCATCTTGCAGGATCGCGAGATTGCAGCGGATTGGGGGAGGCCTTCAGCCAGCAGTGGATTGACCATGGCTGCTGATGGTGGAACTAGATGTGTAGGCGCATAGCTCGAAGCTATGTTATATTATTCTACGATCATTTGAAGATGAAAACATGCGTAAACGGTTTAGCACGTGACGTTAAATTAACAAGACTCATATTTTCTGCATTAACAATCGAAGCATTACAACGCTGCACATCATTGTCGGTGTTTTAAACACCCACATTGTGGAAAAATAATAATTCCGGACAAGGAACATGGCTTATAACAAGGTCCCTAGAAACATAAAATAGAGTCCACTCTGGCAATTTCCCAGAGTAAAACATGGCACGCTGTCATCTTTCACAATCCCAGAGGCAAATCTCTACACACACACACGTGCACACGTGCAACTAGGGAGCCAGACACCATCTTTGGATGTCCCGATCGAGTTCTGCAGTCTGAAACATGGAAAATGTGTTTTAATGCCTCATTTAAGTCATGGCACGCTGCCACAGTCATGGTGTCATGGTTGGCAGCGCACAATCGAGTGCTCGCCAGTTCGATATTCTGGTGCAGCAGTTGAAATGACATTGTATGTTTCCTAAATCAACTCCCCACCACCACTTCTTCCCACCCAGCAGCGTACGTGGGTTCCGCAGTCAGCCTATTCACAGATGGCGTGTTTCTTGGGTAAAGTGTGGGCACTTCCACCTCCTCCGAGATGTCTGTATGTAGGTTGAACTTCTTTCGCGCCGTACGTAGCCAACCGTGATAATCGGAGGTGTGTGGGAAGGACAACGACAAAAAATATCTGGCAGGCATAGAAGAGTAAAACTAAACCAAAACTTCAATTTCGATTTAAAGCTTTCGTGACTGCAGGGATTCATCTTCTTGGTTCTTTCGGTAAAGTCACGTAGAAGGGAAGTAATAAAATAATAAAAATAAAACATAATAAAACAATTCTCACGACGTTTCGGCCACAACGCAAGCAGCCGTCCTCAGGTGAAAACCAGGTCCGTCGAGGCGACAGAGTCTGGCCGAAACGTCGTGAGAATTGTTTTATTATGTTTTATTTTTATTATTTTATTACTTCCCTTCTACGTGACTTTACCGAAAGAACCAAGAAGATAAACCAAAACAATGTTTTTTACTTAACCAGGTAAGGCCCATTGAGTTATGTAGCTCTTTTTCAAAAGCGACCTGGCCACAAATGATAGCTCAACGAAGTGGCGTATCATATGGAAACTTATAGCAGCCAAATACTCTAAACGCGTGTTTCTAAATGTGGAGAGAAAAACCGGAGGATCCGGAGAAAAATCCACGCGACCACGGAGATAACATGCAAACTCCAAATATACTGGTGTCAGGGTGGGGATCGAACCCACAATCTCCTGTGCACCAGGCGAGGTAGTTAACATCTTGCCACCATGGTGCCCATGACCTTGGGAAAACCGGGTCAGGTGTCACACGCTCACCTGCGAGTGGCGGTCGTGGCCCAGGGAGGCCTTGGAGCGCACGGACACGCGGTGCTGCCACTGGCCCAGCGAGCCCGAGCGGAAGAGCTTGCTGCAGCGTTCCGTCTCCACGTGCTCCAGCAGGTAGAGCACCCCCTGAATGCTGATCAGGTAGTACTGCCCTGTTTTGGAGAGTAAAGGAAGGTTTGGGGGGCGGACCAAGGCAGGTATGGATTTAGTTTTAGGGGGCGTGGGTGCCCTCTGAATTTGTAAGTTCTCCACCTTTTTAGAACTTTGTAACTTATCCATTGTCCTTGGTTCTTTCGGTAAAGTCACGTAGGTTTTATTTTATACCTACGTGATTTTACCGAAAGAACCGAAGAGTATGGATTCCTGCAGTCACGAAAGCTTCAAATCAACGTATCCATTGTCTACTGGACATCTGTGAAAAAGAGAATTATAGTGCATCCGATTATTCCAGTATCAATATATATTCTGATTCATATAAGTTCTTGCAAAATGCAACTTTAACCAGCAACTACTGTGAATCATCCAATGAGTTTCTGCATGTATTTATTTATGTACGTGCTCGACTGGGTGTGTGGTGTTTATCGAATACACGCGTACTGTGGGTTAGCGTGATGAAAATGTCGGTACACGCATCATTACGTGTTTGCTATGTACATGTCAGTGATGCCCTTTACAACCATTATGAACGAGACGTTCCATCTCGAGGAATTATCCAGGTGAAATGGCACTGAATGAAATAAAGTACAAGCATGTACAGTATCACAATGTATGGATATTGAATTTCCTTCACACCGTACGTAGCCAAGCGTGCTAATCGGAGGTGCGGGGGAAAGACAACAAAGTGAACACGAAAAACAGTTCTAAAGAAATTAATTTTCAATCTAGACGATTTAAAAGTGTACAGCTCCAAGTTGCTTCCTAATATCGGGAGGAAGTGCGTTCCAGACGGCGCCAGTGGCACATCTTTGTGGCGACGTCGCTAACCGTTAAAGTTAGAATAACACTGCTCTACAGCACACAGAATGTTCTCAAGCAAATGAAGTGTAGAGTACACACATTGCTTTCATTATTTGCATTTCAATTATTTTAGTGGAAGAAACCTATTAACGCAAAACGGAGGCACATTAGCAGCGCCAGATTCAGTTTAATGGGGGCCCAAGGCTGTTTATAGTTTTGCGAGTCCTTATTTGTATATCCAGTTCCTTCATTTGTTTTACCACCACTATCACCCACGCCCGCTGCTGAATACTCCATTGTTATCTACCATCGTTGTTTCAGTTTTTTTGTTAATGTGAAATACGAATTGCAAAGCTAAATCTAATTACTCTTTGGTTCTTTCGGTAAAGTCACGTAGGTATAAAAATAATATAAATATAATTTTATTTTATTTTTCTAAAAATAATATATTATTCTTTATTTAATTTAATTTTTCTACCTACGTGACTTTACCGAAAGAACCAAAGAGTATGGATCCCTGCAGTCACGAAAGCATCAAATCAAGACTAAATCTAACTCATAGTTAAAACGAATAAAACAACTTTAATTTTGGCACATAACTCGTAGTAATACGCACAGTGATGCTATGGATTTAATTACCGAATTACCCATAGCATTTATCATAGTGAGATGGTATATGCGTACCCACCATTATAATGCGGTGTATATACACATACTCTTTTTGTTTGGGCGGGGCTTCTCAAAAATCCAAGGCCCTGGGCTGCAGCCAAAAAATAATTTACCTTTTCAAGGAAGTCACAAGATCTGCATATTGTAATGACTGGAAAGGCGACGTGGAGGCGTTACTGTTGCACTGCAGGGACACTGTGACGATGTTGCAGATGCAAGACGACGCAGCCTCCCAAGTGGCTTCTTGTTTGATGATCCCATGGCGCGTGGCCCGTCGTGAAATTTCGTGAGCGCGCAAATTCGATTTCGTTAATCGAAAGGTGCCCTTAATTTGTCAATTTGGTTGAACGCGAGCATTTCGTAAACGGAATGTTCGTAAATCGAGTGATACATGTGTAGGGGTGTCAGGGGAAGGATTCCCACCAATAGAGGGGTTAGTGGGAGGGGTGATCGAAGAGATATAAGGAGAGAACGGGCGGGAAGAAGGGGCCTTTGGCGGGAACGAGATTGGGACGGCTGGGGACAGGTGTGGATGGAAGGAAAGGAATAAAGGACGAGACCCCTGCAATCTGGTGTCGGCTCCTACTTTACACATGTACAGCGTAAAACAGTGAACCACATCAATTGCGCACTGCTGTAATGCGGAAGGTTCAATTCAAGGCAAATGGTGTATCTCAGACCTTCTCCGTGTATCATGCATGGCTCCATGAGCTCCGTCATGTAGTCCATGTCTTGCTTCAGTGTGGCAATGTCGCATCTCACCAGCACGTACGTCAGCACTGGCATGAACTCATCAGCTCCAAGCTGTCTACCTGCACGATCCAAACAAAATGTGATCAACATTTTCTCTATCTGTGTATAAAAAATGTACTTAATTGAAATATTATATAGCATGCCAATATGTCTGAATAAGGCTTTCAATCGGTGCGCATGGCCAGCCTACGCTCTATGGATCAGATACATGGACAATGAGAAAGTGAATGGAAAGCTGAACATTGGACAAAGACGTGTGAAGCAGTGCATGCGTGGGATTGTGCCGATGTAGAAAGAGGAACACATGAAGCAGGACACGTTTTCAATTCAGAGCCATCACAATGACTTAAACCAATAAGATTGGCGAAAGGATGGTGATGGCCGATGATTGAGACTGGCAATGGAATGCAAGCGAAATGGGGAAACTAATCCTTGAGGCGGACCAACACAGAGATGGAGAGCGATCAAGTTGGCTTCTTTGCACGAGATAGATTGGTGCCCTTTGGGATCATGATGACGCCAGCGTGGAATAGGCTTTCGCCCAGCAGTGGATAGACATTGACTGGTGATGCGTGAGCAGCGTCGTACCTGAACCGTCTTCCATTGACTTATATATTACTTTGCAGATTTTCAGGAGGCATTTAATCTTGCGTAGGGGCAAGTAGTCTTGCTGTATGCTGGCAAGTGCCTGCCTTATCCCTGCCAAGGTGTCCTCATTTGGGACTTTTGCTGTCACTCCCAGCTCCTCCAGGGTCTTGTTTTGTGTGGCCTCACAGCTGCAGCGTAGCTGCTTAATGGAGCCGTCCCTGAGATGGTAGTCCCCGATGCTCTGGTCCAGTTGGCCCTTGAGTGACTTCAATATGCACTTACATATGGCCTTTTCCACAATTACATCTGCGGGTGAATATCAAGTGAGAACCAATGCTCAGAAGCCGTATAGTGCGTACGTGAACGGTCAGCAACTTACAGAAGCCATTCTGCACAGTGTTGTTCTGTAGTTGTAACGTGTAGCTAAATACAAACACCCCACGCGCTGTAACTGGCGTTGGGCCAAACATCCCAATGCTGAAAAAATGACCGCAAATGACTGAATCGTAGGGATGTATTAAGAGATTGCAGCCGGCAAGATGTGCTCTACTTGAGCATATTGGCACAAGACAGAGGGAAGTGGAAACAAATGACGAAACGGACGCATTGATGGTAGACCGGTCATCATAAAACAAGTCCAAAATCAACATTTTAAACTGACATTCGTCTTCAGACTGCTTCGACATCACGAGAAATGATTTTGTTCTACCTCCCCGCAAGATGTTCTGACCGGGGTTGCGAATAGCGGGAAGGTAAATAATCGTTCTAAAAATGCGGTAAAAAAAATACCGTGCACCGTTGTGCTGTACCGCCGATACGTTCAAATGTGCAGCAGCAGACAGATATTGGCTATCTTTCGCATGGTTCATTGTGATGTTATGTTTGTCGAACTTATTTCGCACCGTAAGTAGCCAAACGTGCTAATCGGAGGTGCGCGGTGGGGGGGGGGGGATAGGACAAAAAGCTAAACACAACAACAAAATATGATAATTTGTTTTTTACCCTTTTATCTGGCAACAAAACTGACACCTTTTTTACACGGAGTCATGTTTGCACCACAATACCTGCAGTCGGAATGCAAAAAAAAACACAACTCTGATCATGTATGCACTGTCCTTGAAATTGATTGGGCCACACCCGAGACAGCTTTCTTTAGAGCCTCGTCTCACTCACGCCTTTTGGCGTCATCTGGTCCAACACCATGTGAGACGAGGCTCTAAAGGAAGCTGTCTCGGGTGTGGACCAATCAATTTCAAGGATAGTGCATACATTATCAGAGTTGTGTTTTTTTTGCATTCCGACTGCAGGTATTGTGGTCAATGCAAACATGACTCCTTGTAAAAAAAGGTGTCAGTTTTGTTGCCAGATAAAAGGATAAAAAACAATTATCATATTTGCTACTGGCAAATGAGGTTCCAATGGAACAACAAAGTAGTTCACACACAGCAGCAGCAGCAGCAGCAGCAAAATCAACGTCGTTATCCCCACTGAGAACACTTGGCAGGAACCCTCTGCAGAGAGAGGCTTGAGACTTGGCGAGGCTTGCCTGGGTAAACAAGTGTCGTATTAATAATCATAGTTGCGATGCAGATCTATTATGGCTCGCAATACGGTAACATTGCGCGTCTGAATCGCTGTGGACTGAGGTCTAAGCAGATACGTGAAAAGGTCAGATATATTATTTGGGTCTTTCGGTAAAGCCACGTAGATGGAAAAATAATACAAATATCACGAGTTTCAACACACGCAGTCGTCATCAGGTGTTGTGTTGCGATCGAAACGTCGTGATATTTTTATAATTTTTTCTATCTACGTGGCTTTACCGAAAGACCCAAAGAATATGAATTCCTGCAGTTACGAAAGCTTTAAGTCAAGATTTAAGGTCAGATATGTTAATATCTCTAGAAAAGTACTGTTACACCGTGTACAAATACTTTACTTGGGGGGTGGTCGGTGAATTGGCCTTGTGGGGGTCGTTAAATATCGTGTGTAAGAATTAATGTCTTTCAAAGGATGCAGATTATATGCTCGCATGACAGTGAAGATAACAAAAGCTGGACTAATGAGACAGACAGAATAAGAACTCTGCAAGCTCTAGGAGTTGCACCAACTCGTCGTCTGGTGGAATTTAGCAGAGTGGCTGAATTGAAAGTCCCTTGGCCGTTATTCTGAGGTTATAAATTACTGAGGGCAAATAAAATAAAATAAAACAATAAAATACAACACAGCATTCACATCGATTTTTAATTGTCTCTTTTTGGTAACCACTAGATTATCTTGAGGTGTAATTTTCATAAGATGCCTCTATAAAGGGCATTTGTGTTGTTCACATGAGCAAATTAATAAATTAGCAAATCATTAACTAAGCATGAAGTACGCATTACTTTTGGTCACAATGGATGGTCAATCCTCCTCGTGATGCTCTTAGATTACAAGCCACCAACATCTATATAGACCGTAGACCTACACGCATTCACTGCCAGCATCTGTATAGACCTACAGTACACCAACGAAAACATGTAGGTGGGAGAATACATTCTGAGGTTGTCAATTTCTGTTTGTTAAGAACCCCACACCACCCATGTGGTCAACGTACCTTTCTCATGAATAGGCATTGATGCAGACAAAATAGGGTCAAGTTCAGATGACTGCAGTACGTAGTTTTTCAGCTGTGTCATGATGGCCCTCACAGTCGCCAGCATGGCGACAGCCGAGTCGTGAGTGTTCAGGTGTTTCTCGATGTGCGACAAGTTGCTCCGCATGAGCACGCCGAAGTACGAGTCGTTGCCGTGCATGAGGTTCGTGATCTTCTTGATGACTTTGTTGCCCTCGGCCTTGCGCGCGAGGTGCTGGCTGAAGGTGCCGCCGATCTTGTTGACGCCCGCGTTGATGCCTTTCATGAAATTCTGCTTGATCTTAGACTTGGACACGATGTGTCTGATGGACTGCGTGAAGGCACCGTCCAGCGAGAAGTCGAACTCGGGGAAAAGGCTGAAACGGCTTCCCGACGACGTGTGGCTGCTGACGGAGGCCAGGGTGGACACGGAGCTGGAGTGGCCCAGTTTCCTCACGAAGGCAGCGCCGTCGAAGTCGCAGGACGCCTGTGAACTTGCGTCGTCCACGTGATCGCAATGTTGGTGCACGTCCTTGTCCGGCGAGCAGCTTCGGCGTGCGTCTGCGTTGCGCAAGTGTGCGGTCAGACTCGTCAAGGGCGCACTTTGCGTGCGGCCGTGGTTAGGTTTGGCGCTCTGTAAGAGCAATCTAGCCGGTTCGGCCAAAGTCACATCTGCACGAACGTCGCCGCCTCCGCGTCCTCCATCTGGACGAGCATCGTCCTCGTGGTGGCCGCTGCTGCGTCGCGGGGTGTCCTCGTCGGCGACGAGAGAAGCGGCCGCCGCGACGTTTGCTCTTGCCGCGTCGACGGTCACAGTCGGCACGTGCCGCCTCGTCTCCGCGGCGGTCAATTGCTCACCGTTGTCCACCGCTGGGTCGCCGGCAGCGAGCGGCCCATCCAGTTGAGGAGATTCGCGTCCGTCCGGAGCGACCGAGTCTCGCGAAGATTGAGCCGGGCCGTGGTGGAGTTCATAAAGAGGGTTGATGAAATGGAGGGCTCCATTGGCAGCACGGGCTTGAGATGGCATGTTGACAGCGCAAGTCGGGGTGGTGCATGGTTGCACCTTGAGGCGAGATTCTAAAGAGAGAGAGTGGAAGTGTGAACGTTAACTCGGGTTGGAGTGGAGTTGCCGAGGTATTTTCTGTATAGTCTTTGGTTTAACAGTTCTAGATGGATCGGTTGGCCTCTAAAATGTATCCTGCCTCTGCACAGCCTTCAAATTATGTGGGCTCATTACAGCTTTTGACAGATTTTTGTAGAGAATGTCCTCTTATGTATCAGCCAGCTGTAGCAATTTAAAGTAAAGTCTTGGTGCACGTTACGCACTGGGGCTCTCTGTGCTTGTAAAGTTTCCTCATACTATACGTAATTAATGCTTAAGGTTTATTCAGGATATAAATAGAACAGTACTGTATCTCGAAACATTCAATATTGCCGGATAGAGTATACAGGTGAAGAGATGGTGTACACAAATGCCCCACCACTTTTTCACAATATTCATCTCAATTGTTTTTTTTAAAGCAAGTTTTTCTTGATATTTCAGTCTACATGAACGAATTAAACATTTACATTTGAGCATACTCACCAATGTTGACATCCTCGCGCAACGATGCGTTATCGTCCATGCGTGATGTGTCCAGTGGGGTTTTTATTTTGCGTGTGTAAAACTGAAATTAAAATAACAGCGTACATTTATTTTCTTTTTGATTTAAACAATAATTTCACGATCTACCAAGTCGAGGAAGTAATATTTTCACTGTGGAATTTGTAACCTGGACCCAGCAATTCAGAGTTTCTCTCTATCGTGATGACAGTTGACCATTTTCTTAAATAGGATTCTTATCAAGGTCAACATTGTTTTTACAAACTTTGACCATCAAAGAGAATTGGCGTACAAACTACAGCGTTGTCTAATTATTATCACCGTTTACTGACGCAACATACAACATCTTATAAACAATATATTTCTATAGCATTTCCACCACTGTATGTTTTTCATGTTCAAAGCACACACGTTGGAACATTTTAAATCCGTTGCAAACTCCTTCACGTGCTTTCATGTTACGTTGGGAAATGTCAAATTCTATGATGCAATTTGCCGAGTCAAGCCTGTGTCTCGAGGCTTATTTTTCCAGGAGGCTCTGGAATTGGGATGTTTGGCTAATTCCATTCGTGAGTGGTTTGCTTGTGGGAGAAAAAAACCTGTGGGGTAACTCAAAGCACCGCACCGATAGATTCAAGAATCCACCGCTGTACTTGCCACCTTGTAGTCCAAGGTTGCAGCAAATGGTATTATCATATATGAACTTTATGGCGGGACCCCGGGGTCCCATAATCCCCCGTCGCTCGCATACACTTCATTGCGACGTCATTTTTTGTCTGTTGAAGGTGAACGACACGGCAATCTGTCCCTCGAGACGAGCTCTACACGATGCGCTAATCAAAGTGTCAAAGTTTTGTTTCTTCTGCGCATTAGTCCTCGCTTGGACGACGCGACAACAGAACGATCCGCGCCAGGTGGGTCGCGGCGTTCATGTGCGCGGTGGGACGGAGTCACCGAAAATAAATAAATTAATTACGATTTTTACTTCCTTTTATTCGGGACCCCGGGGTCCCGCCATAAGGTTCATATAAAAAAAATCATTATCATGACAGGGTGTATAGGTAAAGGTGCAGCCCTGAAATTACTTGCCCACGCTACTAGTGGCAGAAAGGTCTCCACTGGGGGGGTGCACTGGAGAGCCCCTTCACATGGCTACTTGGGCCTACTCTTCCACGCTGAGCAGAGGTCTTAGAAGAGGTGGGAGTACACACACTTTACCCCACTGCATTACATCTGCTGATCGACTGTAGTAGATCCATTTATGCTGATGTGTGGACAGGGGCCGGCAAATATATTAAAACAAAGACTTGCCCATTATGTGAATAGCCTTGCGGAAGATTTAACCGATGAGCTCCTAATTTGTATGTCCACTGTGCTAATAATTACACCATGACAACATCTATTGTTGCCACGAGTCTGGGTTTGACCCGGACATTCCTGGAATCGGCATGTTTTTGGGTGGCAGGAATTGAATTGTACTCAGATCTGGTACTGGTATCTTGTTGAACTTTAGTACGGTAGACTGCAAAGATTTCATTGACCTCGGCTCAGAAATATGTCTGGGTTTGGGCTGTGGAAATCATGGCAGCACCACTCACATATACAATCGATCTTTACATTTAAGGACAACCCACAAAATAGAAAGAGATCGGTGCTATACATCCGGGCTAATTTTAATTTAATTTATTTTATTTCTACATACGTTTTAATTTTAAATTAATTTAATTGTATTTTATTTCTACATACGTGACTTTACCGAAATAACCAATGCGTATGGTAATCTCTAAGGAAAACTGAAAGATAATTATTCAATTAAACGTGTAATAATCACCATGGTTACATCTGCAAGCACGTGTCAAGGAGCTTGCAGCGAAACACAAGTGGGTAAAACGCATTCTCGGTTCATCAGAGCGTGCGTGAAGGTAAGTAGATAGCAACGTTTGAAACAAAATGTAGTGTCGTACGTATTTATGTATGTACGTCGAACTCCATTCGCACCGTACGTAGCCAACCGTTCGAATCAGAGGTGCGGTGGAAGGACAACAAACTAAACACAAAGAACGGTTCGACTGCATGGGAGGCGTGCTATGGGAGAACAACACGATGAGCCACAATGTCAATCCTTTTTCGAGTCCCCTTAAACAAATATTTTTGTTGAGATCTTCATGCCAAACGCTTGTTGCTTGCCTGCACAGATGAAACTTTAAAATGTGCTTTTAAATGACTCGTTCTTTCCAAACCCATAATACTATTTTAACTAAAATCTTGACATAATTTACTCCACAAGCGGTGTATTTTAGCGGTAAAGCACTTGTTTTTTTTACTACGTATACTTTATGAATTAGATATCGTTGGCAAGACATGGAGACATCGAGCGTGGCCTTAATACGAAAAAAAGTCTCACCAAAACGTACGGATGAATGTGACAGCTGCCACCAAAGGTCACTCTCACTGGTCGCGTGCTCCTTACCTTTTGATGATGCTTATTTTCTGTCTTCTTTTTGATTCACAAGTGCGGCTCTTGTTCAGCAAGTCAATATGCGAGAGACTCTCACACTACTTCAATTGTTGACGTTCATTTAAGGATGGTGTCGACGTAAAGTAGCGCTCTGGAACTTCTCATTTTTTGTTTTGGTTTGGGAGTTAAAACAGCCTCTTCCGCTTTCAGAGGATGTGGCTTCCAACGCCACAGAATGTGTGACATCCCTGCATTCACATCGCCTATCCAATTATGACACTTTACTGGCCTCTGCCGTGGAACATCGCTATTATTTTAAACAAAATCGCGATGTAACAATGCACCTTGAGACATTAGTGGAAGGCGATTTACAAATAAATGTAAATTCTTATCAATGAATTACCATGGTGACGTTCCTTACTGGTGCGTGAGAAGCCTGCCTCCACGTGCGCTGTTGCGTTGTTTGTTCCAGAGTATTTTTTTCGTGTCAAGCACACATTACTGACGGGTATGCGTATGGCAATTATTTCTAAGGATGAACCATGTTAACTCAAAAACATGGGCATATTGATGTTTTCTTTAAGAAAAGTATTATCATTACATGCAAACCCAGGGGTCAAGTCAGACATTTGCACACCTTGTCTTCCGTTAAAATCCCACTCCCGCTTATCATTGGGAGATTGTACGACTGAGTACGCTTTTGTAGTTGTCCTCTACAGCTCGTACGGGTACCCGTTTGCGACCCTGGTGCGGCCGGGTACGGGTACGGGTAGGCCGTGAGTCACTGGTGAGTCACCGTTTGTCACTCATTTCCCAACGTCTTGTCTCTTCTCACAATTCAGTGCACCCGCGCCTGCAACATGGCTTCATCCCAGAGGTCGCAATCAGGTACCCGATACCCGTACCAGGCCGGGTACGGGTAGAGTACGGGTACGGCCGGGTACGGGTACGGGTAAGGAATCAAAACCCGTTTGCGACCTCTGCAACAGACGTACAAGGGACGATGTGGAGGCTTTCATCCACCAGTGAGATTGATTATGGCGGCGGCCTCTGCTGCTGCTGATGATGATTGTGATATGGAACGATATCCCTCTGCACATTCGCAGCATCACCTCAATCGCCTCCTTCAAGAGACACTTAAAAACTCACCTCTACAATCATGCTTTTGAGCGACTCTGAGCTTGGCTCCGCGCCTCTGAGTTGCGGCCACTACGTCTGCAAATTTGCGCGCGTTACAAATTGAACTATTATTATTATGACTGCTTGCGTGCTGCCACGAACGTGAGAGTCAGCCAAAATTATGTCACGCGTCTTTCGATCAGCGAAGCGCAAATGCAGTGCACCTGCGCTCAGCATGATGTCACGGAGAGATGATGTAAATGTTGTGGTTTCACGCTTCAACACACCGGTGGGCTAAAGTAGTGAACTATTTGTCTTTTGTCAACGTAACACTTTTTTGCTGATTGGCCGTGTCGGGTGGTGGAGGGTTACGACACATTTATAAATAACGCGATCTAAACCAAAAACGTTTATTACTGAATAAAATTGGTCGCGAAAGCGTACGTGTTAAAATGATGTTCTGAGTTTAGCTGGGGACTCGTCGCGAACGGGAGGCAGATGTGACAATCTCGTTCTGGCTGATATCTCAACCTCGCCGAGACGATAAACACGGCCACTCTTGTGAAAATAAAAAATAACAATCATGAAAGCCGATGTGTTAGAAACCATTTACTCTTTATTCATGCGTTCAATTTCAGCTCCGGTATACATCATTTCAAGTTGTCAATGGAACTCGAATATGGAAACATATGCGTTTGTTCCTGTTGTTATACGATACGTCAATGTCGCTATGCAGTGGCTGGAATTCATACAGTAGTGTTAATATAATAACCCCAAGAGAATACAAACCTCACAGAAGCACTCTAAACACGGCAATAATTCAAAAATAACTTACTTAAAGCACCAAACCACATTCAGCAGCTGGCTTGATTGATACGTCTATATAATTTGCAGCAACCCTCCACGACGTCTGTTCATTTTTTCAGCGCATACTTTCCACACACATCTTCCACTGTGGCCAGGCACAGCCCTGATTGGCTACCAATCCTTTCACATGGCTCGAGCTTCATCACAATCTGGCATCAAACTCGAGTCTGCCCAAGTGGAGCACTCTGAGTGAGCGCCTATTAACAAGGTCCGAATGCACAAAGACGCACGCATGCGCGCGTGCTCATGCATTCACACACAAAAGTAATGTCCGAAAGATACACATCCGATTCTGTAGCTGCCGGATGCCATTTTCGGGTTGTGCCGCGTCTTGTTCGGCACGATGTCCGACGTTTCGCGCCACGTCCTGACTGATCATCGGAACATCGTGCCGAGCAACGCGCGTTACGACTCGAAAACAACGTTGACGAACTTACACAGCACGCCCGCGAAAACCGACGCAGATACAAACCACGAGCAGATCGATTGGCTACTTTAGTCGGGCAAAAATAAAGTATTGGTAAATGTCTGAATGATGGGAGTTTTGAAATATGCCACACACTAGATTTGAAGCTTTCATGACTGCAAGGATTCATACTCTTAGTTCTTTCGGTAAAGTCACGTAGGTAAAAAATGAAATCAAAATTAATAAAAATAAAATAAAAATCACGACGTTTCGGAGGCAACACAAGTCTCCGTCATCAGGTGGGACCGTCACAGCCAGATTTGCTGCAAAAAAAAATCACGACGTTTCGGAGGCAACACAAGTCTCCGTCATCAGGCTTGTGTTGCCTCCGAAACGTCGTGATTTTTATTAATTTTAATTTCATTTTTTACCTACGTGACTTTACCGAAAGAACTAAGAGTATGCCACACACTGGTTGTGTGGGAATTCGTCAAAAAATATCCCAATGCAGGACCCTCCTTAACAAAAAAAAGTGTCTTGAGACTCACACTGAGACTTTCCCGGGACAAATAATTATTGGCAGATTATTTGGGCTTAAACTTCCTCGAGAAGACATTCACCACACGGATCAATTCCCCCACAGTTAGAAATACTGCACACACTGCAATATATATTCTTTTTAAATACCGGCTCCGCCCCTCCTCACCCTTTCCCACCATACCGCAGATAACTCAGTCAGACACATTGATTTCGTAAAATTTTCAAGCGTGTAATACTAACAACCGATTGTGCATGGTATTCCGCCTCGCGATAGCCATCACTGAACAGACTGTGAGCCTCCTACGGCTCCGAGATTGTGAACACAGCGATCATTGCAACACAGGGAGAGCCGCAAAAACCAAACCACCCCTCACACACCCCCACCCCTTCCAGATCATACTGCATTGACAAATTCACGCACGCACACAGCAGTTATTAATGTACTTACTTAACAACGACACAAACAAGCTGCAGCGGGGAGAACAAACCCTCAAAGCGGAATCTCATAACCCAAAACCACCCTGTCACTTGTTTTTTTTTTAGAACGTGAAGCTTAGGAAGCGGTGGTGGTGGTGGAGGAGGAGGAGGGGGGGGACACGCTGGGGCTGAGCACTGCAAAATCGATTATGCCCAAGCGCCAAGCAGACACGGAGCGCCTCCTCGGATAGCAAACAAACCTCCCGGCCACAGACAAACAAACATCGCAATTCGCCACGGGCTTCTGAGTAAATGCAACAACAACTCAACACGTTTGTGAAGAACACTGCCTTTAAATAAAACGTGTGTGACGTTTCAGGCAATGGTCCTTCTTCATAGCACATTCTACTTTCGCTACAAAGAAGGGCCGTCACCCAAAACGTCACCTATTATATATATTTTTACACTTTCAGGCCACAGTGTTATTGATGAATGCGTTGAGTGTTGTTTTGGTAACTTCTGCTTTTCCCACCACTGCTAACGTAGCAGTATCACCAAATAATTCGTTTCACTTCGAAGTAAATCGACGGGTCACTGGCAACATAACACACAGGCGTGTGAGGTGCATGCGAACACGTTACATGGTGGTGAGTTGTGTTTTTACGTTCATCGCCAAACCGATGCAAGCGCGATCATCCCGGCTCGGCTGCGTGTTCAGCGAATTTTTCGTCGAGATTTCGACACAAAATATTCAACACGTGAAGAATGGGAAACTGTATTTTCCGGGAGAAATCCGTTCAGCCGTGAAGCTCTCTCTCTCTTTATTTAAACGAATGGTCCAGTTAGAACCATAACGCGGAGAGCCACACTTGCGTTACAATCGGCCTGCGAAAACCTTCTGCACGTGTCCAACCAACGCTGATGAATTTGAGTGCGTTCTGCAAAAGGAAGGGAGAATTATTCTTTTTTTTATCTCTTAAATAACTCGAGGTCATGCAATGGCTTCACCTGTCCTGTGCCAGTCGTTTACGGCGAATTTGGCTTAAAAGCAATTGAATATATTTTCGGAGCAAAATATATTGGATTACAAAAACGCATGTCAACACGTTACTTTTTAAGTTTATTGAATACATTCAATGCCAGTCCACAAACGAAATAAAAAATATAACTTTGTTTTCAACTTTTGGATAAAACATTGCACTCGAAATAAAACTGTAACTTTTAATATAATCTATGCATCCTTTCTGTCAGAGGCAGTGCTTATAGACAATGTGGGAAGATGGTAAATAACAGTGAACCATTCATCGTACCCAGTTGTGCATTTTACCAGCTAAGCTATATTTGAATGACAAATCGCTTTACATTATTTCAACTCATCCACCTCGATACACTCTAATGAAAGATTATGCAATTTAGCATAATTATTAAACATACATTATGGTTAAGTTTGAACCAAAGCGTAATGCTTTATGTGCAAAACGAATGCTCCATCGGGAATGAAGTTGATGACAATAGCTGAGTTGAAGAAAATAGGAAAGCATTCTTTATGGAAAAAAAAAGAATAGTACTCGTTTAATCTCTAGCTTATCGTTATTAGTACGAGGGTAAGGATGCACTGAAGAAGATACAGACTTAGCATGTGTTACTAAAATCATCCAGAGGCTAAGGGGAGGCGAGACCAATAGTTTGGGCATGTACTGAGAAAAGGCAAAGAAGATGCACGTACAATGGCTTTGTAGATGAGAGAACCCACAGACTTACACAGAGAAGCCACAGACCCGCACAGAGATTCATAGCCTCACATAAGAGACCCATAAATTAGAAAAGCCACGGAGACATCTCCAGTGCAGGCCAGAGGGAGTAGACGGTGAGATGGGAGAATGCGTTGGATCAAGATACGAGCACAGTGCACGCGTCTCGGGCAGAGGTGCAGCATAGACGCACGTGACGAAAGAACTCCGAGCACCCGAGGCCAACGCAGTCACGCGACTTCAAGCTGAGAAGAGAGGTAACGATGCATCGATTCGTCTATTGATATTGATTCTCACGCACACGATACGGGCGTCGAATCGTGTGCTGCGGGAACTGATTGGTTTAGATTTGGTATATGTTGCATGTAGCTAATACATGTGACCTGCACGCAATGTAAGTGCTGCAATGAACCACAGTACAAAAAAAATAAAATTATTATTTGATTGCTATCCCATGGGTTTTTCGAGGTTGCGTGACATACCACAGCCGTGAAAAAGCAGCATTCATTATTGAGTTGAATCGTGAGCCAAATTGCGATGAATTGAATCGGAGTGGGACGGGGTTGAGTTGGTGGAGGGGATTAATTTAATTGCAGGCCTCTTATTTAATTACGCATCTTTACTTCGGCATTACAAAATAAAGTAACACTTGCCCTAATTGGGTGTTTAAAATGCGTTCATTGCAAAATGTTAAATCAAGTCCCAATTTGTCAAGTACTGCACCGTAGCAAACATTAATTCGTCGCCTACAATAAAAAAAACGGTGCCTTTCCCCAAAAACTCTCACCAAAACACAAACCAAATGCTACGGTGTGTAGATAACGGCTTCTAAAGTGCTGGCCAGCCAATTCAAAATTGCAGCTGGTCGTGGCATGTGCAAGGCTGTTTGTTGAGTGAAGTCTGATGTTTGTTCCCGCCACCCCACCATCAACCGATACTGACTGATTCAACAAGAGAATATTGTAACAATTACAGTGCTAGTGCTCAACAGACAAATAATATCCCCCAATTTAATACCGATGCTGTCATCAGCATCATGTCGTGAGACAAAGTATTCATGCAGATCTCTCGAGCAGTGCAACCCTTCGTGGTAGAGAAAACCCCACGGAAGTGGTTATCACAGAGCTACATCTGAGATCACATCAAGGGACCTACTTCACAAAGTATCGGGCAGCACTTTCCCACCCGCTCTGTCCATGAGAGCTACGTGTGTCATGTAACAGCAAAACCAATATTTTAATTCTCAAGCACTGGAATTTTGCCAAATTAACTGCAGAACCAAATGTAAAATGTGATGGGTCTATCTGTGCGCAGTCATTGGTCACGAGGCTGAGACGATCGCACTCGTTACACTCGAGAACACAGTTGAATCGCAGGCAGCTTGCCTGGGTTCAAACCGAGGACCTCAGCCGCGCCCCGACTCGGTCCATCTGAGCCCCTGGGCTACTTGGCCACCTCGACCGTGACTGAGTTGTACCGAACACCATTAGCTACACAAAAGCTGCATGACATACGCCATACAAAGACAAAGCCTCTCCCCCCCGTATAGCCTTAAGAAGCCGTCCGTTGGGGCAAGTGCTGTTCGCGAGCACCTATGAAGGCCGACACAGCACACGAGGGGGGTGGCCAGCACCACGCCCGGCCGCCTTTGTCTCCCGAGTTTACACACTGCACCAGGTACTCATTTGAGGCTGAGTCGACCTAGGGGAGGCCCAGGACCGATTTAGATAATCGTCACTGGTGTTGGCCGTGAGCGGGAATCGAACTCGTTTCTTAGCGCAGCGCGTTAACCGCAAACACCACCGCTCCCCATACCCCATATGTACACACACACACACATTGCATGGATATGAACACGACGTATTAACAACACAACGGCGGACTGCACCACCGAGTACCTGCACCTGAAAGACGTTCGGCAACGACCACTGGGTTAGGTGCGCATGACAATGTCCTAATTGCACTTACGGGACACTCAAACGGGTCCTTTCGAGTGCAGCGTTCACACGCGAGATGTCGTTGCGCCCGATCACAATGACGCTCCGCGCGGCGTCTCGTGCAAAGTAACATCGTGACCCTTGGTTGTTGTGAGAAGGAGAAAAAAATAGAAATCAAAGCTGCAAAAAAAATGGGAACGGATACGAGGGCGTGCGAGATAATGACCAGCGGCGCACGAATGGATGTGTAATTCATCTTCCGTGCAATTAAATAGGAAGCCTTCTTCACCGTGAGGCTTTGTGCGTTTAGAAATAAAACTTCAGAATTTATGAATAGCGCTCATATTTGAGAGAGAAAAAATAATTACTTGTAAATGTAATTTTATCACAAACACATCGTTACCATATTATAATTACATGGGTCTTTTTTTGTATTCGATCAGACGCTGATACGTTTCGACGACTTAAACGTGCCCGCATGCATGCCGAGCTGAAAGGCGAGTGTGGCGATATCTCGCACCGTTACGATTCCAGCAAACGCAGCTTTGATTCCAGATGATGCACAACACCATTGGACACGCGGTACCCTGTCCCTGGCAGAGTGTTTGTCATGTGGTCAGCATGAGCCCGTGGGTGGGTCAGGCATGGTGATACACTTGCCCGGTGTGCACCGCGGTGGCATTAACTGGTGCTCACTGAACTGCACTTGACCTCAGATGGCAAAAGGCTTATTATTTTGGACTCACGCAGAATGCTCACGCAGAATGCTATACAGTACCAATGGCCCCCTTTCGAAACCTCGACATCGCGTATCTCTTTGGCCATTACAAAATGGGAGAGAAAACAAAGCAATTGCCAGGAATGTTTAAGTGTTCCAATCATTCAATATGAAACATTAGACGTGTTGCAAATGTCAAATGTTGATACACAACCTTTCAACCGATGGCTACACTAATTCAATACAGAATAATTGGGAGTGGGGAGGGGGGTCCACACGAACGTATCAATCCAAATCAGAAGAGCAAAACAACGGATTGACGAATTTCTATATTCTTCCTTAACAGTGTCAGCCATCAGTATGCACACAGCAAGCGAGCCCTCCAGAGGCTGTCTGGACCATTGTCGATGTTAGTTTAGACAACAAAAACAACAACAACGCTAACTTCGCGACGATGATCTGTCACGCCGACGTTCGTTCGGCGGCAATCGCGCCGATGATGGTGGCGGAAACGACGGCGACGATGCTTTGACCAAAACACACCAAAAAAAGTCCTCCACGTGCTCTGATAGACCGGCTCATTTAGCACGATAAACTCCATCCCGTGTTCCTCCCTTGCACGGACATCAATCGTGGTCGTAAGCAGTAGACATTATTTTCTTTTTAAATGATGTCCATTAAAATATCCTCGTTTTTAAATGAGAGACACAGCACTGTTTTGCCACTAATCAGCTTTTGGCCTTTCAGTTTTGGTCTCCATTCTAATGCCCTTAGCCAGTGGCAAGAAGGCACAGGCCTCAATCATTGCCGTAGAAACACCCTGAACTATTGCACAACAGAACAACTAATCAAAGTGTTTATGTACAGATGCACATTCCCAGCTGATGCTACAGAACTCAGTGCTTGCCTAGTGATAGTCCTATTTACACGCTAATTCTCACGTTTTGTGTGGTCACTTTACTTGAATATTTGATTTCGGCAATAATACTATTTACATAATTCTTAATATATATACCAGGAATTCATGAAAATAACTTTATTTATTCCACTTTCAACCCATAGACTATTGTAAAGTGTTTAGATTCTAAATAGAGCAATATAGGTATTCTTTGATTAAATATAGAATTGAATAAAATTCCACAATGTACACAACAACTTGTAACCTAAACATGCCACTCATTGCTGTATTATTATATAATTTACATTCTTCACACAATCAATACATGTTTCCTGTGCAAATAAATACCTTCCGCATTACATCCGGGCTAACACCGCAACAACAACAACAACAACGCAACTCTTCAAAAAAATCTCGTAATTTTTTTTTCATCGGTCCCGTTTATAAATAAACCCTCCGCGCGTCCAAATTCCCCGGCGCGTCAGCGAAACGGTTCTTTCTCTTCCAACGTCGCTCTCTCTGAGCAATCTGCAGGGCACAGCGCTCTTCAAGCTTCACGCAGACAGCCACAGCAGCAGTCACCCCCGCACCCACCCACCCACCCCGTGGTGCGTCACAATCATCTGCTCCATTCATTTTGATGCGTCACTTCAAAAAGTTATTCGTGCGTGCGCGTCTGCGCTCTGCGTGTGTTTGTACGTATGTATGAGCGTGATTTCATTAGCGCCCAAAGCGAAAAAAGAGCTGTAATGGAAAGGGGGGGGGATACACATTCCGACGATGAACCTGCCATCCCAACGTGTTGTGGGGTGAAGGGAGGACAGACACTCAGATATGTCACAATTGTAGCAGCAGTCGCAGAGGCTTCCTGATAAATTGTCGTCTGGGGGGGGCGGGGGGGGGGGGAGAAAAAAAGAGCCAAAATAAAAAAAAATGGAACTTGTTTGTCTAGTGGTTGTGAAATATGACAACATGAGCAGCTCTCGTGCGATGCCTCCTGCCGTTGTTCGTTGAGCAGGAACGTCTCAGTCTTTACGGCACATCGGCAGGTTGACAAAAGTGAAAACGTTGAACTCGATCATGATGGAGAAGCAGAGGAACACGGCGTAGACGAACAGGCATGCGAGACCGAGCTTGCGGTCCAGCTTCCAGTTGTTCAGGTAGATGCCCAGCACCTGTAAAACAGAGGGTCAGATCTCGACAGGTCAGTTGTTCTACATTACCCCTGGATGTCAAAACCATACAACTCCATACTATTTAAACTATAAACTTTTTATTTTATCAGGTAAGGGCTACTGAGCTATGTAGCTCTTTTTCAGACGTGACCTAGCCACAAATGAGAGTTCAACGAAGTGAGCAGGGGAAAAACCGGAGGACCCGGAAAAAAAATCCACGTGATCACGGGGAGAGAGACACGCAAACTCAAAATATACAGCAGGCGTCAGGGTCGGGGGTTGGTATCGAACCCACGACCTCCTGTATACCAGGCGAGGTAGTTAACATCTCGCCACCGTGGCGCCCTCTTGCAGCTTCCCCCAACGAGCCGTTGGCCAGTGCTTGTGGCGTGCGTGAATGGAACATCAACGAAATATGATAAATTCCTCTTGATATGCAAATTATTTTGTCAAGGCGCTCTTCCCCTTCCAACCCAGCTTAAATATACGCTCCAAGCGTGGTGGTGTTTCATTCAGACTCTGTCTCCCCGACAGACCTGGTCTTCACCTGAGGATGGCTGCTTGCGTTGTGGCCGAAACGTCGTGAGAATTATTTTATTATGTTTTATTTTAATTATTTTGTTATTTCCCTTCTATGTGACTTTACCGAAAGAACCAAGAAGATCAACGAAATAGTTATCTCAAATGGTTATCTCAAATAGTTCTCTCAAATACAAATATCGAGGCTTGGCAGTGGTTGGGTGGCTCGGAGGAATCATGCTCAATTTAACTCGTAGGATCTTTATTTGAAGCTTTCGTGACTGCAGGAATCCATACTCTTTGGTTCTTTCGGTAAAGTCACGTCATTAGAAATAAAATAAAATAAAACAAATCACGACGTTGCGATCGCAACACAGGCGGTCGTCGCCTGATGACGGACGCTTGTGTTGCGATCGAAACGCCGTGATTTGTTTTATTTTAAATCTAACTACGTGACTTTGCCGAAAGAACCAAAGAGTATTAACACGTAGGCTTTATAATATAATTCATAATAAAGGTTTTTTTTTGGATTACATCGCGTAAATATAGTATATTTATCATGAGGGATAATGCATCAGAAGCCAGCAGCACTGATATCAAATGTGGCACTTACTGCGTGATTCAATCAGTAACTCGTTGAGCGAGCTCCTGGTCTCAGCTCAGTCACCAATGGCTGCACAAAAATCCTCATCGTCTGAAATCTACTTTTCACTTAATCTGGAATATTGCCAGTTGTGAAGAATACAAAGAGCTCACTTTCATTGCCATCTCATGAACATATCTGCGCCAGGACAAGCCCCGTGCCCCTAGCGTGCAGAAGAGGTAATCGAAGTGATCTCAGACGTAGTTCTTTGATATCGCCTTCCCAGAGGCTGTTCTTTGGTGATGCACTGGGCTCTGTGAGAGTCCTGAATGACGATGTCTTTGTTCCTTGACATGATGGCGATACGCGCAATTGGAATGTGTTTGGAAAGACATTCTTAAGAAATACCCAAGGCTTAGCAATAATGCGATTGTTTATGGAATGTGACAATCGGTGAGGTTTTTGGACGTTTGCGTGTGTTTGTTTAATATATAGGCTTTCGCGACCAATATCATCCATAATATAGTTTCTTGGGTTAGATCGCGTAAATATAAATGCGTTGTTAAAGCCGCCACCACCCGACACAGCCAATTAGTGAAGGTTTGTCACGTAAACCTAACATTCCAATTCGTTACTAGCACAGCACATCGGTGTGTTGGAGAGCAAATCCACAACATTTACAATCGTAATGTTGTGGATTCGTTCTTCAACACACCGGTGTGCTGTACCAATGTAGTGACATAAATGATGTCACGACTGTGTTGCGGCATTACCAATTTGGGGTGCCTCTCTTTGGCACCGGCGTGAGCATGGCACATGGCATGACTCGCTAGAGGGCAGGGTCCGGACTGAGGTCGGGTCAAGGCGTGATACCCTGGGTGAACCCGAGAGGACACGTGACAGGACGAGGGGGGGCAGGGGGTGCGAGGGTCACGTGAGGAGGGTCACGTGAGGAGGGACCCGGGCCTTCACCGAATGATCTGGGTCCTCGATCTCCGGTCTTCGCACACGTGGACCAGGCAGCGTGTTAGCTGTCCTGGTCCAATTGTAGTCACCCCGTCCAATGTGTACGTAGTCAACCGTGGTGGTCACCACCCTAAGTTGTAAGTGTTCATAGTTACTCAGTGGTGTTAATTAATAAACGTGTTGCCTCCGAGATCAAGTGTGCGCCTGATTGAACCCACTACACTAGTAACGAATTGCTTTGATCTGTTTACGTGACATACCTTACTATTTGGCCGTGTCGGGTGGTGGCGGGTTTAACAACGCATTTATATTTACGCGATCTAACCAAAAAAAACCTGAGAATAAGTTTTCCCCTTTTTTCTGGCAACAAAACAGGTGTTAAGATGTTAAAACACCAAACTGAAACCTTTTACAAGGTTTTAAAAAAAACCTAGATTATGGATTACTTGTGTTTGTAATTGTCCATCTGCAAACAGGTGGCAGCGTTTGTATTTTCTCGGTACAATGTTTCAGTTGCTTACACTATTCATGTCAGCCACTAGCTGTCACTGTAGCCTCACTCCGTTTTTCCGTTCGGAAATATAAAAAAGGCGCATCTCTCGCTTATGCGTGTGTGTGTGTCGTGTTTACACGCTATTGTTTTGTTTATGTGTCGATGCGCAGTTGCTGGGGCTGTGTTCCGAGGGCGAATTTAGTGACAGAACGTTGTTGGACCAGAAGCACTGGAATCCTGGGTTAATTTTGCAAAGAAGCCGCATGGAATTATCATCTATAAAATATGAACAAAATCGCACAGTCTTGAAGGTGTCGCGAATGAAAGAGGAGAATGAATGATTCATTAAGAGATTATTTATGCATTGAGATTATTTAGATTATTTTGCCGCTATAAAGGTCCAACTGATGATGCACATTGTTGAGCTGTCACTTGTGGCCAGGTTGCTTCTGAAAAATAAGTGAATACCTCAGTGGGCTTAGCCTAGTAGGATGGGGATGGAGATTCGTCTTATTTGTGTGTGTTTGGGTGATTTGTTTACCTTTCTTGCACTTTTCACTACTTTAATATTTTGTACCGTTTGTTGTTGTGACGTCCTTACCTGCCCCGACTGGACATCTGTGAAAAAGAGCTTCATAGCTCAACAGATTCCTCAAGTATAAATATAAAATTTTGATTCCGATTAAATATATCGTTGAATCTAAACAAATTGTATGTCATCTATAAAGGTGTCTTGCATTAATGGTTGTGAGAAGAAGGAAAACGTTGTATATTATGTGAATAAATGCTTTCCATGTTACTCTGCACAGAAATCTAATTCATGGATCAGATATGTACAGTCCTGTGAATTCTCATTTACAGCTCTGTGCCGATTCTATTTCTGCGTGACGGACTCCAGCGTGCAGCGGTGTTCTTGGGGGTGGTTTGACCATACTTCACCACACCGGTCAATGCGCGTTAGTGATGTTTTTGAAAATTGGTTAAGGCATAAACAAATCAATTCTGAACGTGTAGATTTCTGACTTAAAAATTTCGTGACTGCAGGAATTCATATTCTTTGGTTCTTCTAAATGCATCGAAATTAATTGTAATGACTTTTTTTTATCTACGTGACTTTACCGACAGAACAAAAGAATATGTGTAGATTTCTGTACACCACAGCAATTAAAAGACATCACACATACATGCACGTATAAACAATGCACATCCTGTAAAAAAAGCTTTCCGTGTGGCAAGGTCTCCCACTTAACAAGATTGGATATTCAATTACATTTTGCTCCTCAGTTTCGCACACACCATACTTTTTTTGAAGCAACAAAAAGCCAGCGCTCTCTCTCCGTCAAGGTCTTGTTCTGCTGGCAGACTTACCGTGATGCCGACTGAAGCCAAGAGCAGCACCACGGAGTATATGAGACCTCGGCTGTTGATTTCCACCTGAAGTGACAGCAAACATGCGGTTTTTTTTTTTACGCCGGTGTATTTGTACGCAAAAGACATCGACCTCCCATTCATCCTCACGGGATGTTGCTGGAAACAAAATTCTGTCAGCGAACGCCTATTTAGGCTCGCCCTGATCACTATGGGGGCAGTGTGGCGGGCCAGGAAACAACACATGGTCGCCAACGTCTTCCCAGTGTTGAGTACTCTACACATCATGACAGTTTCACATTGTAGGCTGAGCTGACCTTGAGGCTGCCCAAGACGGTCGTACACCAGGGTTTCCAGGATTTGTATCAAGCACAACGCTCACTAAGGCACCGCTCCCCACACATGCATATAATCGATTCAACTCCAATCGTAAGCTCGCGCACGGTACGTGCATCAAATCATGCGTGTAGGCGTCAATTACACAATTATTTTAATGTTGCATTAAATCTAGGGGAATATACGAGACTGTGCAAACGAGACACGAATGTGTGAGAAACACTCCGAACAGGCCATCAGATAAAAAAAGAGACAAACAAAAACGTGTGTTAACTCGAACCGTGATCCAGAATTGTAACAATTCATTAAAATTCAGAATTAGAATATTTATACTGGAGGAATCCGATGAGCTCTACAGCTCTTTTTCACACATGTCCAGTCGTGGTGGGGTAGTCGGAGGTGGTCCAATTGTTGCATGCCTCGTAAATGCTACAGCATTCGCTCAATCCACTGCTGGCTGAAAGTCTCCCCACACACACCACGTCGGCCGTGGAGATTGTCCACACTTCAGCGCGCTGGTCATCGTGGTCTTGTGAAGAGGCGGTAGGTGGGAGTGGAGACAGAGCGGAGTGGCACGACCGACTCGACCTCGGATATGCCAGGTTTACAGTACAGTGCGCAATCAATCACTGCAGCACAGCTCCCCCCCCCCCCCATGCTTGTGAAAATTAGACGAGAAATCTCCCTGCCGGTAATAAGCCACCACACGAACTCCGGTCAACCTCGCAGCAGTAGCGGATTTTGGCAAACCATCGAACAAAGACGGTCACCGCATCGCGGGCTTTCGGATGCGCTTCTGCGACCGTCTGGAACGCTCTTCCTTCCGATATGAGGAAGCCACTGGAGCGATGCACTTCTAAATCTAAATTGGGAAAACGAATTTCTTTACAACTGCTTTTTTACGTTTATTTTGTTGTCCTTCCCCCACACCTGCGATTAGGGGCCATCCATTTAGTACGTACGCATGGAGGCGGGTGGGAGGGTCAACCCAGATGCATACGCTTGCGTATGGGGGAGTCTACTGACAATGTACGTACGCATAGGAAACGGGGGGGGGGGGAGTGAAGCTTCGATAATAATTTGCAGAGGTGTGGACTCGAGTCATGTGACTTGGACTCGAGTCAGACTCGAGTCATGAATTTGATGACTTCAGACTCGACTTGGACTTGCATAACAATGACTTTGTCCCACCTCTGAGGTGTGGACTCGAGTCATGTGACTTGGACTCGAGTCAGACTCGAGTCATGAATTTGATGACTTCAGACTCGACTTGGACTTGCATAACAATGACTTTGTCCCACCTCTGATAATTTGTCTGCATTGGCCTTCAAATGAGTTAGATAGTTCGGCGGTGGACTATCTGTTTGCTTAAACACGTTAATCTTATTAATTCTTGATCGTTTCTGCGTGGATTAAATATCGCCCGTTCTATAGGATTCGGGGGGGTGGGGGGGTGCGTCAGGTGTACGTACGCAGGTGGGAGGGGGGTGTACAAAGTACTCGTGGGTACAGGGAGGGGTCAAGTTTCGACAGATTTTTGCATACCTACTAATTAGATGGCCCCTTAGCACGGTTGGCTACGTACGGTATGAAAGAAAGAAGCTCAACAAACATCCATAATGCCATTGTAGTGAGGCTGGGTGCTTGTGCTTGTGTGTGCGTGCGTGCACATACGTGGGATCCGTAATCCACCAGCAGCGTCTGCAGGGCCCAAGGGAGGCCCAGGCCCACCAGAATGTCAAACACGTTGCTGCCGATCGAGTTGGAGACTGCCATGTCGCCCATGCCTATGGGTTGCCGATGGGAGTGGGAACGTGGCCAGCAACATTGCAGGTGAGAACATTTTCCAGCCGTCTTTCCGCCGCAGCGTACAGTTGTCACGGGAAGCGCGTTGTGAAATGCAAATGGAGTTTGTTTTTAATTACCACTCGAGAACCACTGAGTCTTCTGGCCGCACGAAGGTTTGTGATGTGTTTGTTGCAGAGCAGTGTTCTGGGATTCGTGATAAAGTGGCGTGCGACTCACTGACGTGATGATATTTGGAAGTTGAAGATCAGCGATTTGGTGCGCGGTGTTTAATTTTAAACTCAAAATTTAAATTGAGATGTTACAGCCCTGCAATTGCTTGCCCACGTCACTGCTGGCAGAAAGGCCTCCACTAGGCGGAATTATAGAGGGCCCCTCTGGAGGGTATTTGGCCTATTCTTTCACGCTGGCCAGACGTCTTGAGAGAGAAATGGTCGGACCCACACTTTTCCGTACCACATTCGGACCTTCCGATCGACTAACCGTCATGTACCCATTTATACTCCTGGGTGGACAGACGCTTTGGTGATTATTAATGTGCCCATTGCTTCAACTGGCGTACTGGGAGAATGAACTGGCGACCTCTGGATGTCCGGGTGTGCTAACCAAGGCAGCATCCCCAAAATAAACATGGAACACTTAAATGCATGAAACACTTGACAATGCTGTCACGTCATCAGAAATAAGGCCCCATGGTGAATAGACTACTAAATGTGGGGTATAGTATGATGTTATTCGGGGATTTGTGATGAAGCTGTTAAATCTTTTAAACTTCATATTCTAGAATTTGGCCACTGAGAGCAATTGAAATCAATGTGCGCCGCATTCCACGGAGAAATCGCCTTCAGCGAGGAGCCTTACCCTGCCGTGCCACGATGAGGCTGGCCATGCAGTCGGGCACACTGGTGCCAGCCGCCAGGAAGGTGATTCCCATAATCACATCGGGAATGCCCAGCGTGTATCCAATCACGGTCACCTACAGATAGCACAGATTGTCAATGCTGCACGCACATACTTCCCCCAAGGTTAAGTATCATCATCGTCATCATCGTCGTCGTTAACATCATCACGAACGTCATCATCCTCATAATGCCATCCATCATCATGGCACGCATCGTGTTTGTTCCGTGGCTGTCCGATCGACAGAAATCTCCAGGTCATCTATCCGCAGACAAGTATTTGGGAAGAGACAATTCAACACTGTGTCTTAATAACTGCGGGTGTTTTATAAGTGTGGAAACAACAAACCATTAATGCAAACCGGCGAAGACCAAACTCGGGATGCCTCCGTACCAACGACTTAATTAACCAGAGGGCCCTTCACCTTTTCAATTTTGTTCCGCAAAAATAATTGGCAGCCACAGAGGGAGTAAACAAAAAAGGACTACTGGGCAGTCCAGGGTGCCAACTTATGAATAGTAAATGCACATCACTAATGATGACTTGGGATTTGGTTCAATTGTTTTAAGTGCCAACGAAACATAACGGAACGGATGAGGCTCGAGCTAAAATCAATCGCCGGTGTGAGACTGCATAAGTGGAGGTCAAGTGAAGGTGGCGAGTCATTTCGGCCGGACACGCGGAGATGTGGCCTGAATACAGCCACTCGCCTGATTGGATAAACGTGCTGCCTCGGTCTCCCACACCCCCCCCCCAACGTCCTCATCAGTACCATTGTCGCATTTTGTGGAAAAGTGTATTAAACTGGCACCATATTCTTTGGGTCTTTCGGTAAAGTCACGTAGATAGGTTGAAAGAAAAGAACAAAAAACTACGACTTTTTTTTCCTCCTGAAGATGACCGCTTGTGTTGTGATCAAAACGTCGTAGTTTTTTGTTCTTTTCTTCCAACCTATTTACGTGACTTTACCGAAAGACCCGAAGAATATGAATTCCTGCAGTCACGAAAGCTTCAAGTCAATATTTTAACTGGCATCAGGCATTGCATAAGTTGTTCACGCGCCTGCACGTATGCACGCAGACCCTCTGTCGATTCTACTGTTGGATGAGGACCTCAACCAAGCCCTGAAGGTCGTGGGGATTACGTGACCATACTTCGTGAGGCTGATCAAAGTGAGTACCACAGTGTGGGGAAGTAATTAGTCCCTGTTCTGTGGATAGCCAGCATTGCCATCATCACGGTAATGTGGAATTTCCGCCAACGGGCTTAGGGCTGTAAACGGAAGATTAGCATCGCCCCTTGATTATTCGAGCAGAAAGGAAGCACATGTGATAATTTGACGTTTGACCCTTGATTTCGAAATCAATGCCACTGCAAAACAACAGCAGGTTATTGCCCAACAGTTCACAGAGCAAAGGTAACATTGTAGAGGTAAAGGCGCAACCCTGCAGTTGCTTGCTCATGGGCTTCCACTGGAGGCCCTTAAGAGGCTATGTTTGGCCTACTCTTGCCGATTGACTCAGTGTGGTGTCCCCATTTGTACTTATGGATGGCCAGGTGGGGGAAGGACGAGAGGAAGGGAGGGAGTGGGGTGAGTGGCGGCGGGGGGCGGAGGTTAAGAAACGTGGCTTTATCGGTCCCACTCGACACGTTCCGTCAATTTGTGTTTGCGCTGCCGCACCGAGAGGGATCGAACCAGCGACGTCTGGGTTGCAAGCTGAGTTTTGCTGACCATTCTGGCCAACCGTGACAGCATCCTGAGCCAAGTGTTTGTCCTCGTGAACTTGAGAACGCGTACACATTACGCAACATGGATGGCCTGTTGAAAATGCAGCAGTTCTCTTTTTTGATATCGCTGTCAAAGCCATGCTTTAATGAATATGGATAGTTAGGGAAATGTAAATCGTTCCATAATTACATTATCGCTCCGTTTTAAGGCAAGCATCGTCGGTTTGTACGCAACACTGAAACAGGCTCTGTTGCATCAGAGTGTGTTGACGATGGTATAATTATCTAAAAGCATGAAACAAATTTACACAAATTACTCAAAAAGCAAATGCATGTCCAATTAACAGTAAAACACTCATTAAAAGTACATTATAAATCGTTATCGTGCAGCATTTCTCTCCTCGCTATTCAACAGTCATGATTTATTAAAGCTTTGGTCACATTCACTCGAAGACATCGCTGCGACTTGAAACCATGCCTTGACGTGATGGACCTCACTCGAAGTAAAATTACAAGACGATATTTATTTTAAAAAACAAACTCTTCCTTAACAGGGCAACACGATACATCAGTGGTGAGCTCGTGTAATCCTCATCAGCCACAGTCACTCCACTGCTGTATTACAGCCTCCCCAAGTCGCTGCAATTCTTCACGGTCCCGTGATGCAACAGAATCAGCACGTCGATGAAACGTTAACTACCTTGCCTCGTATGCAGCTCGCAGCTTCGATGCCAACCCCGACGCCTGTATATTTGGAGTTTGCGTGTCTTTCTTCCCTTGGTTGTATGGATTTTTCTCCGGGTATTCCGGGTTTCCCCTCCACATTTAGAAACATCCGTTTAGAATATTTGGCTGCTTCAAATATCCACATGACAGGTAGCTTCGTTAAGCGATCGTTTATGGCCAGGTGGCTTCTGAAAAAGAGCTATATAGCGAAGTGGTAAAATAAAAATAGTTTTTGTTTAGTATTAGTAATTACTGTGTACAAATATATCCACGTGTGTGTATTTACTTAGCGTAAAACCATGTACCGATTAATTCGTCCGAAATCAATTGCTATGCTCATGATTGCTTGCATAAAATTGCAGGTGTTAAAATTGGTTATTTATGACACGTGGAATGTTATACGGGAGTGTCGCACGTACGCTGATGGTGCAAACCACATTATACGGCGCCGAAACAAACTACTCGGTCAATAAAAAAACGAGGCGGTGGCAACTGGAGGCGAAAAAAATTAACCCGTAAAAACAAAGTTTTTCACTATAAATCCTTTATATGCGTGGTGGCTAGAGTCCTCTCGTCCTTTGGCTTGAGATGGCTGCCACCTATGGGTCAGATGATTGCCTGCCACCATTAAGCAATTGGTAATTAAATATAATTTATTTTTTCCTAAAAAGTGTAAAATTTTGGGAAAATTTTTTCACGAAAATTTATTGTCACGCACAACGAGTCTGTGTGCAAAATGTCAGCTCGATTCGGATCACGGGAAGTGGGTTAAAAAACGACCGAAAGATTTGCACGGTCGTAAGCGCGCAAGCAAGCAAGCAAGTGAACTTAATATAAAGGATTCTAAAAAAAAAGAGGATCGATTCCTGAAAAAAAAAAATCCTGACGATTCGCTCGGCGCGTCGCGCAGGGTGCCAGCACCGCGCGACCGCCGCACGGCACCGCCGCCGCCGTGCCCGGGAACCCACCATCCAGACCATGACGTAGGAGAAGACGGCGATCCAGATGGTGGAGATCACGAAGGACGCCATGAACCAGTTCTCCCAGCGCGCTTTGGCGCAATTGGGCACCGTGAAATAGAGAAGGAGCCCCAGGGGCCACGCGAACATCCACTTGAGCTTGTTGCACACCCCATCTGGAATTCGCAAACGTGCAACGTGATCTTAGAATATGAAAAATAAGAATACCAATCAAATTCGCATTAACCACACGTGTACATTGATTGTTTGATCCATTAATGCAATGCATACTGCCTGCTGTGACATAGGGATCAGAAAACGTGGACATTAACAAAGATAGTAGAACATCTGAAAGGTGTGCACAAAGACTCACTCTTGCAATTACACTGAGAGACAGAGAAGGGAACACGTGGATTAGAGAATATGTGCAGGTTACTGACATCATTCAAACTGTTAAAACGAGTTTAATGTATGGATGAATGTTGAACTTCTCTCATAGTCATCGGAGGTGTGGAAATTTAACCATTGCGGCTTATGTTGATGATGACAATGAATATTCCATACATGCACTTGGGGGTTGGGGGGGAGACACTCAATGGAGCTTGTCAATGACATTCACAATTTTTTTAAACAAGAGCAAATCGTTTAAATTAAAATATTCGCTGTTGATAAGTGTCGTTTGTATATATTCTTAAACCAACGGGATCTAAATGCTGACAATAAAAATGCCAGTTCAGAAATTCCAATTTCTGCAACAGCTGGCCGAACGAACGCCATCGTAGAACCCGAGAAAAAAAGCTACGATACAATCAGTTCCAATTACATGGCGGCGAACTGATTGACTCTGCACATCCCGAAACGACTTCGAAATAGGGCGACGCACCTTCCTTACGCTCTACAGCGATTTTGCCACAAAACCGTTCCTGCTGATGCAAAACTGGGGGCCATACACAGAGGTGATTATGTAACTCAAGAGCCAGAGAGACATGAGGGAATGCCAAATATCGTAGAAACTGAGTGCTTTCGGGGACCTTGGTGGAAGAACGGTGCCAAATAATATTTACGTTAACGCAGCACGATAGAGAGCTGGATATTGCGAAGAGGGAGTTGATGGGATTTTGTAGTGATTTAGCGCAATTGAATTGCTATACAACCCGACAACCTGAGTTTGATTCCTGACCATGGCTAACATCAGTGGTGAGTGCTTTCCAAACGGGTCCTGGGACTCTCCCCCCTCCCCCCCCCCATCATCAACCCGCACCGATCGGCATGTGGTGAAGTATGGGCAAACGACCCCGTGACTGACATGGCATTGGAAGGCCTTTCATCCACCAGTGGATTGACAAGGAATTGTTTTCATTTTTTGTAATGCATATTATAATTAGAATTATTAAAGTAATACACCTTGCTGTGAGAGGTTAGATTGTGTGAAAAGGTGAAAGAGTTGATGAATTACCACGGTACATATATACTTTCGCATTCTAAGGCCTGCTATGTGTATATATATATTTATTTAAGGTAATGCACCACGATTTTAAAATAAGTCTATGCAGCAAAACATTCATAATTTTAGACACAAATTACAAAGATCCTGCATATAGTATCATACACTATTGAGATAAATGCTGTTAGTGAGCACTTCGCATTATTTACCATAATTGTGTATGTTTTTCTTAACTATCTAATTGCTTTTTAAACTTCTGTATTGCTATTTTTGTTTCACACAATTGTTTATTCATCGACTCACACAATCACCGAGTGTGCAGATTTTGCTCGCAATGGGTGGAAACTCGGTGCAAACCACTCCAAGTGCAGTCGACGATGAGCCCAATAGTTACGCATTATCAACCTTCCACGGTGCAGTGTCGGTTCGTCACACTTGACCTTTAACCCAGGGGTGGCCGGTTTTATCTCGAGGCGAGGGGGTTGAAACAACGGTGCAAGTTTTAAAAAATCCCAAACCCCCACCGCATCTACCCACCCAGCAGCATTGCTTTGGTACACCGCAGTCGGTGGGGTATAGTGTGGGTCACTGCCACCTCTTCCAAGGAAATCTTGCCCAGCGTAGACGAGTAGTCCACCCTCTCGTCGGGGCTTCTCTGCAGCTCGCTCGCTCTCTCTCTCTCTCTCGTAGAGGCCACTTTACTAGAAGTGGCGTGAGCAAAGAATTTCATGGCCGCACTTTTAACCTTTTCGACATGAAATCACGGTATGTTGATTCTTGTCCGTCAGCCGCCGCAATTTTTCTTTGTGTCCAAACCACCATCCTCCGCAGTCAATGCGCTTCGGCATTTAAATGAGTGGAAAACTGCACGCGATGGAACCGCATGCACATGGTCAAGCTGCAGTTATTAACAAATGCAATTACGCAGCTGCAAGCGCGGTGCATTTACCCAAAGCGCCTGAAACTCTGGGCAACTGCCATTCAAAAGAACACACACATCGGTCCTTGTGCTCAGCGTCGCTCACTTTACGTCATTCGCGAACCGAAACACGCGCGCGTTACCATGCGCACGTCCTTGCACAAAGCCCAAACGCACACGTGCACAATCACGACGGCAGGACACGTCGCGGGGAGGGATGATGGCCAATGATCAAGACTAATTGTGGAGTGGCGGCCGAACGAACAGAGAGGACATCCACTGAAGGAATGGGGCAATGAAATCGGCTCGTGTGCGCAGGTGCTGGGTGAGAAAATGGCGGCGAATTTGGAAGGCGTCTATCCAGCAGTGGATTGACCGTGGCCAATGGCGACGATGTTTGACAACGTCCTGAGACACGGTCAGTCACGTGTCTCAGGACGTGGTGCATTGCATTGCCGGTGCGTTGTGTGAGCCACAATTCCAATTACGATACGCTAATGTGATCTCATATGCCTTAATGAAATCACACTCACCATTAAAGCAGTGTTCATAAGGATGATATTGACAGTATTTTAAATGAGCAAAACACAATATACTTAACAAGCCACATGATACAAAATTAAATGGCACCATTCTGGCATCGGTGAAAAACCCCTTGCCCGTCACAAGTACCTGCGCAATCAGCTGCGACTGAGTTACGTTAACGACAAATATATCCATTCCTCTAGCCCTTCCATATATGACGCACAACACTTTAAAGAAATAAACCAGGATATAAAGTGCCCATAGGCTTATAAATATTTCCCCACCCCCCCACCCCAAAAATGTTTCATAAACAAGTGATTTCACCTGTTCACATTTTTCCAGCAATATAATTCTGCCGCGCCATACTTTTACAAACCCCCGACCGAAACGTTCGAGGCACGCACGTACACACGTACGTACGCTTGAACTTCTTCCGTGCCGTACGTAGCCAACCGTGCTAATCGGTGGTGCGGCGTCACGCCGAACACAACACGCGGCACAGCACGAAAACCACGTCGGGGGGAGCGGGCGAGAGAGCCGGAGAGAGTGTGAGCGAGAGAGCCAGAGAGAGCGAGCGAGGGCTTTGCCCGTGTCCCTCTGCCGTGTCTGCTGGGGTGGCGCTAACCGGGAGGGGAGATGGGCGAGAACACCTCCACGTCGTCGTTCCCGTCAGCGTCGTCCTCCTTCTCCTCCTGCTGCGCTTCGCCCGGCTCGCCCTTCTCCAGCAGCAGAGCGCCACCGCCGTTCTCCAACCCGTTCTTGCTCGGCACCTTGACCGCCGCGTCCGCCTCCGTGCCGTTCGGCTCGTTGCCCTGCAACACTCGCTGCCTCTGCAACGACAACAACATCAACAACAACATTAACAACATCAACAACAACAGAAAAGGACCCCGACGATGTTCAGCAACTAGCAGGGGCAAGTTGCTTTACTTTTGCATTTGTATTTTTGTGTGTATATATATTGGGAATTAACACGAGCCCGGTACAAAGCACCGATCACAATACAGGAGGGGAGCTGGAACTTCGCAAATAAAAAAAGAAACCCGGGATCAGCGCGCCAGAAGTGACCTGGTAACAAATGATAGCAGCCAAACACTCTAAACGCATGTTGATACTCAATGCGGAGGGAAAAACCAGAGGAACCGGAGAGAAATCCACGCGACCACGTGGTGAGAGACATGCGAACTCCAAATATATAGGCGTCAGGGTCGAGGATCGAACCCACGACCTCCTGTATACCAGGCGAGGTAGTTAACATCTCGCCAGTCAATCTGGTTGACAGAGTCCTCAACATGGGTGGAGGTTAATATATATATCAGAACTGTGCTTATATAGGCTGTGCTTATATTCAGCTTCTACTTATTAAGGAATCTAAACCTAAGTACAAGATGTGTTTATTTTTTTTGAGTATTGTTGAGTAAAAATAGACTCATCATACTATGCCACTACAGCATAATTTAATCTTAACCTTTTGAATAAGCCACACATTTGAATGAATAAAAATAGCATTTTCACTTTGAAGCAACAACTCTCGTATCATGTTCGCCGAACCTAAACCATGTAGGAACATTCTACAGGTGTGCTTCTTTGTTTGCCCCCAACGTAATATATATTTATGAGAAATTTAAAACAACAAATTATGCAAAATTGAAATGTTCGTGGGAAAATAATCAATGCGGCCAGTTTTTTTGTTGAATTTTAATCATAAGCTATACCTCTTGTAGATGATTGCATTATTAATTCAAAACAATGTTCCAGCATATACAGGAATAGCTACACACTGCCGAAAAGAAAGTCTGTGCCAGATTAATTACTCTCCATGTAATTTATATTTCTTCACGTCACGGTAGATTTATGAATCTATTCCCACAACCTCGTCGCTACTGCCCTGTATCCCCACTACCTCATCACTACTGAATAAAAAGAACGTTTCTCGTTGTGAGTGAAACAACCTGAGAAACCACCGAAGATTCGTGCGTTGCAGAGAAGCAGTTTTACTTATTTATGAGGAGCATGAAAAGGGATGGAAAGATCAGTCAGTAGAAAACCTCTGATGTGTACCACCCCGATGTCCGAAGTTTCTCTCCACATGCTGGGAGCTTCTGCAGGAACTGAACTGACAAACAGTTTTTTTCACCTTTGTGCTGGTGGCTGAATTGAATCGTCCGAGCGCTGAAACTGACTTGTTCCTGGAGAAGCCACACAGAGTTCTCTTTATGCAACACGCGTTGGACCCACCTCCAGGATGAGCATGCGGCTTGCCATTCGTAGGCGAGTGCGTGGCCCGAAGTGGCTGGTGATCATCATGCGCAGGCCGGCCTCCGAAAAGCTCAGCTTGTGGGGCTGACTGTAGAAGATCTCGTCCACCATGATGACGGAGGAGCACGGGGCGGAACTGCCTGCCGTCGCACGGCAAACACCGCCAACCCGTTAACACAGTGCACGAACTCCTGCACCGCCGCTCCTCACAATGCATATGCGCGTGCATAACACGCGCATTTACAGCGCAAAATTAAACTACTCTTGTAAACCGCACTCCAGATAAGCTGCATACGGACATTTCATGCTTTCAACAAATATGAATTACAGACGATATTAAAAATGTAGAGCGTGATTAATAGGAATAGAAATGTTTCTGGACAGCTTGAGTTCGGCCTCGCAGTCTTTCAAAGTACCGTTACCGTTTAAAACGTAAGGCACTAGTTAATGCACACCCCATAAGTTAGCATTAAAGATTTACGGTATTTCTCAAAATTATTAATGGTTTTCAAGGTTAAGGTGCAGCCCTGAGTTTCCTGCTCGCGCCACTGCTAGCAGAAGGGCATCCACTACATGTAGGCCTAAGAAGGTATCTTGGCCTTCTCTTCCACGATGACCTGATGTATTGGAAGAGATGGGAGTTCCCACATTTGACTGCAATTAACTCTGTGCTGTACGCGATGACACTGTGGGGTGGACAGACCGGAAAAAACCTGCACCGTTGTTTCAACTGCCTCTGGATTGCAAGTCCACCATGCTAAACAATACACCACGACAGCACTAACCAAGAATTCGCGTAATATATTTAAATTGAGTTCATAACAACGTGCATAATCAACCGCATGACACGAGTTCAGAGTAACATTGTGGTTCAAATATAGGGCTCTATTTGATGTACCGTTATCGACATTACTCGTGAATTCATGGTGATGTTTCATTTAAACCGCCGGAAAATACCATTTTACTCGCATGTTGTCCAAATCAGGGGGTAAATTACTCGATCAAAAAATCTCACGCGGAGCGGCGCTTGACAATGTTACAATGCAAAATCATTCGTTAACAAAGGTTGGCCTGTTAATTGTGATTTGATGCGAACAGCGAGAATTTCCGATATCGCACGCGTCAAGGTCGTTGTGCCGTAATGGTGTCCATAGAGAAAATTCAGCGTAAGGCTGAGCACAACTAAATCTTGCGTGCAAACAAAGGGCATGGCTTTTGATTGGCAAATTACGTCGACGTCGTTTCATTGTAGCTTAAAGTGCTTTGAGAAACCAATTCGAATCATGTACACAAGCTACATTAAAACTAAACTTTTTTTTTTAACCAGATAAGCTCTATAGCTCTCTGTCAGAAGCAACCTGGCCACAAATGATAGCTCAACCAAGTGGCTTTATCACGTGGAAATGTATTGCAGCCAAATACTCTAAATGCATGACTGAATGTGGAGGAAAAAACCACAGGACCCAGAGAAAATTCCACGCAACCACGGGGAGAACACGCAAACTCTTAAATATACAGGCGTCGCACCGACGACCTCCTGCATACTAGGCGAGGGAATTAACCTCTCGCCACCGTGGCGCCCCATAATACACGTATCCTCCGTTTGATATGATATAGTGTTGCAATGTCACAAAGCTCATGTGGTTGGTGTGTACACAACCCGACATGTTACTAAGGTGTGGCCACCAGTGGTCACGTAAATCATTCATAGAATAAAGCACGGGGGACCGTAGGACGCGACATTTATAGAACAACTCAAGGAAACGCGATGCAAACATTGGGCAAATATTCATTTCCATGGAAGCACAAATTGTTTACGTTAGGTCCCCTCCATATTTCTGCACAGTTGAATCACGCGCGGATAAACAATGGAAATCAGCGGAGGCATCGGGCAATCGTCACAACGTTTCCTTCATTTTTTGGCGGCTGCCGAGCGTTCGCTTTCCAATTGCCGAACCGCGATTCGAATTGACGAATTGGATGGCTCACGCGACACACGTTTGGAGATGCCGGCTTCGTCCTAATGCGCATTCTGCAGGTGCCTCTTTCAGAGTGCGCAAGCACGCGCGAGCGCGCTCGTGACGCACCAGTGCCCCGCCGGGCCCCAGCGCATACGCCAGTCGAGCACTCTGCGGCATCCTTGCAATGTTAGCGCCAAACATATATAGAAATAAATATATAGGAAAAGCGTTTGTTACGTGCTGTGAGAGCAGCACTGTTTAATTCACGGCAATAGATGCAGGAAGCACCAGGGCAAGCGGTGCAATAAAAAGATTATAATAGTAAGAATATGACAAGTTTCACGACTTGCGCCGTTATAATTTTTCAAAAGCTCACGGTTACAAAAGGAAAACAAAGCAAATTATAGATGTGCAAGTAACATTCCCTTTCAGTTTGCTCCTTCGAACTTTTAGCTACATTTTCACTCGTATCGAGTCAGAATTCGCGTTGCCGTGATACGGCAATACAGCACTACAATTTATCATACGATGATCGTAGAGTATCTATCGTAGAGTATCTATCGTACGATCCTGGCCATTGGAAACGTTGGACCTACCTTGGCCCAATTTTCCATTTTAACTGGGATATCATTATATTGTGATTATCAATGCAAATTTTATTTAAAGATCTATTTTATTTCCTGACATAGTATTTATTGTTTAATAACAACCACGCTGATTACATTCGCAAAACAAATAGCTATTACCCATTTAATTTGGTGCGTTAGAAAACGTTTTGCGGATTAATTAACAGCGCGGCTGGTTCTATGACATCATTATTTTTGTAGCTCTTTTCATAACTTAATTATTCCTCATGTAGGATTAAACAATGCACTATAGATTGCTAAGTTGCAAAGGTTGACTACAGCGTGGGGACCGAGGAAAGACGAAAGAAACGTAGGAAAACAGCGGAAAAGATGATCCAGAAGTTCAGAGGTCACTCCTGGATCGGCATTGTGTTGCCTTATTTAAAAAAAATCCTTCGTGGTTTTACCGAGTGGCATAAACGTTGCCATAGCGATACTGTGAGGTGCGCTGCAACGGCACGTGCGTCGCAGCACATGAGCATGATGCTCCTTGTAAAAAAAAAAATGCATTTTACCAGGTAAGGCCCACTGAGCTCTATAGCGCTTTTTCAGAAGCTCAACGAAGTCGAAAACTTCGAAAACTCCGAAAACTGCACAAACTACGCAAACTCCGAAAACTCCGAAAACTACGCAAACTACGCAGCAGGCGTCAATGGTCGGGATCTAACTCATGAGGGAATTAACATCTCGCCATGGGGAGATTCAGCGATGGGGACGGGAGGAGGGGGGGTCGTAATCTCACCTTTGCTGAGCAGAACCATGGTGGGGTCGTAGCTGTTGCTGTCGTCCACATCGACGCCATGCGTGGTACCGTTGGCCATGGCAACGGCGCAGGGCTTCCGCTTGCTGCCCAAGAACGTCTGGATCTTCATATTAAACCTTTGCGGGGGAAGGAAAAAGGGAAGGAAAAAAAAGGAGCGAACGCGCAAAGGTAGAATGCACGATCGGGGGGCGGGGATGGTGACGGGGGGGGGGGGGGGGTAATTGGACGACGTAGAGATTAATAAAATCACCGTACCCCCAAAATCTCAAACTCTGTACCCTGTGGGCCACCTCCGAGGTACAACCATCTCACGGCTCCTGCTCCCCCCCCACACACAAACACACAAGGCCTTCTCTTGATCAACTTCCAATCCTTCCTTCTCTCATTTGTGCCTGTCCAGTAACTATTGGACATAGACATCTATGTCGAACTTCTGTGGCTTGCCTAGTTCCACCCACACGCATTGGGCATTTACGATCTCCACCCCCCTACCACCCCCCACCCTCGTCATCATGCGTAATGCCGTTGATGCTGGCCAGGCATACTCATTCTGAACGTTCAATCACTCTGCCAGCTACATTCATTTCAACGTAAACAATAGCATCTTTGCCTGTATTTGGATGTTGGTTATTCGACAAATATTTTTCCTTTGTAGCAATACGGTACACGAAGATGAATTGTCACCTTGGTGTACCGTATTGTTCTATCGCGATGGAATACGACACTTGAATTAACAAAATGTGCAGTACGTTTGTTTATCACTTACGACTGACGAAAGTCATGGTTAAAAAAAAAAATTAAACGACGACGTTTCGATCGCAACACAAGCGTTTGTCATCAGGAAGAAAACTTAACAAATAGTTTAGTTTTCTATATTCTTGGTTCTTTCGATAAAGTCACGTAGAAGGGAAATAATAAAATAATGATAATAAAACATAATAAGATTAAATTCTCGCGACGTTTCGGCCACAACGCAAGCAGCTGTCGTAAGACAGCCCTGTTCTTCACCTGAGGACGGCTGCTTGCGTTGTGGCCGAAACGTCGTGAGAATTGCATCATATTATGTTTAATTTGTATTATTTCGTGACTTTACCGAAATAACCAAGAATATGAATTCCATGCAGTCACGAAAGCTTTAAATCGAAATTTAGTTTTCTATAGTTTACGAAAATATTTGTTGTTGTTTGGCAAAAGATAGCAAGACCACCCCCTCCCCACCCCCCCCCCCCCCTCGTGTACTTACTTCATCACTAATATGTACACAGCGTAGAGCATGACGAGAATCACCGACTCCCACCTATCGTTCACAGTAACAGGGATCAACAGGGTCACAGCAACAGGACCACAGTTTTAGACAAATGGGGTCGGTAACCCCGTGATCAGTGCTGCTTATACAACGAGATCACTGCCAATGCAAGCTCACGACACAGGGTCCGCGAAATGTCAGAACAACGCGCCAAACAACACGCCGCACAAGCAGAAAACACACCGTCAGGGCCAAACGGAATACAACCATTCAAAAAAGCGAGCGAATATATCCCCAGAAATGTAATTCAACTTACCATGATACAATTTCATCGCAAATGAACTAAAAAAAGAACAAACAGAAACGTTTAGCGAGGCATTCGACAACAAACCTATGCTACATGATCTACAATCCACTGAAAATGCTACGCTTACGGAGCAAAGTTTGTCCTCTGTGGAGTATTACATTGCTTTTTAAATGGGCCGTGCCGCTATACACTGATCAAGTATCATAAATGGGTACACCACGTCACGCGTCTCTTTGTTGCATCTCTTTGTTGCACAGAAGCAATTCATCGTTGCTTTGCGGGAGAGAGTGCACTCCGAGCAATTCAAAGCTCAATTTTCTGCACTTCAGAGGAACTGCTGGAAGGCTTTCTAACAAGTGGATGTTTCCTGCTGCCATGGTTTAGTGACGTTGCCTTGTTATCCATATTTTCCTTTTCTTTCCCTTTTATTTTTTACATTTTATCTACACAACAGCACAACAAGATAGAGTGAGTGAAAATGAAAAGGGGAATGACAGCGTGTGAGTGAGCGAGCGAGCGAGCACAAGGAGAATTTATTTCAAACCATTACATGAAATGTTTTCTCCTGAGGTGTGCTGTCAGACCGGTCATCTCTGGCTTCTCTGGTGTTAAGCATCCAACAAAAACTCTCCTTGAGTTTGGCGCGAGAAAATTGTAGGACACTGCTGCAGAGAGATGTATTGCAGACACCACGCTAAAGCCCTCTGCGGTGCAACAACAGGTGATTGCGATCTTCATCCAGGAAATTAGGCCGTTTGCTTTGTTGGCTTCACAAAACGTTTCCGTATTTTTTTGCGCAAGTTTTACGACGCGTGCACAAGCAGTACGACTGCGCCTGTTTTTTTTATGAAGTGTCATTTTGTGATATTTTCTTGGGATAATATATTTTTGACAACCGAACAGGGCTCAACGTTGTATACCGTCAGACTTGGATTACTCATTCCGTGAAACGGCCATAAAGTGCTTAAAGAACACCAGAACGATGGTGATTTGCCGATTCTGACTCTGGCTCGACATCATAATCAGTATATAATATATAAAATGTATGTCCGCTGTCTTAATCGCATATTAATGAAAATTAACTCATTATGTATTGTGATGGAGCATTATATAAATCACAAATAGTGTTGACGCCAATGAAGAAGATGGGTTTTCCAGACAATATTATCTTCTTATGGGACGAAGACACATGTTTGACACATGTGGAGACATGAAACGTAATTATGCCTAGTTTGCATGTTACCAATCATGCTCCACCGTAACACATCACCGCTATTGCTTGTTGCGTTGAATCGGGGGGGTCCCATGGTTTATATGCAGTGCTCTCACCAATAACATCTGAAAATCCAGCAGCGTTTTTTTTTTTTTTGCAAAGCCTAACCGATGATGAGATGCAAGAATGTCACAACCGGTGGTACCAGAGTTTGCTCCGTAAGAGGTTTTTGTTGGGTTAGATCGCGTAAATATATAAATGTGTCATGAAAACCCGCCACCACCCGGCACAGCCAACTAGTAAGGGTTGTCACGTAAACAGAACGTGGCCAATTCGTCACTAGTACAGCACTAGTGTATACTGTAGTGGAAAGTAGTGTATAGTGTAGTGTATAGTAGTGTATAGTGTAGTATACTAGTACAGCACGCCGGTGTGTTGGAGAGCCAAGCCACAACATTTACAATCTGAGTACGACGTTTCGCCAGTAATTACAACCAGCTTCATCAGGCGACAGCCAGATTTGTGGAGAAGTCTAACTGTTTCATTCCTTATATAGAGGCGGAGATCTTGCGAAAAGTGGGGGGAGGGGGGGGGATTAATGAGCGATCGTACATTATAACGACACATTTATATATTTATGCGATCTAACCCAAAAAAAACCTCTTATGGATGATATTGGTCGAGCAAGCCTACGTCATAAACAGAGTTTGCTCCCTTAAACAAATGCTGTTTGTTAATATTATTTGTGGGGAGCCAACAGGCCACTGGAATAAACATATATTTTAATTTGTATGTGGAGACAAAGGCTGGAGTTCTGATTATATTTTGTATTCACGAAATAGAGGCCAATTAGTGAGGATGGATAGACGATGTCACAATGTAATTCTCATCGAAATACCTGAGTGGGTTAAGCCAAGTGAGCAGCTTCATGATAACGAGCTGCACGTTAACATGCCCCTGCTAATGTGTAAACATTTAGCATTGTTGTGCCGCAGATTACAAAGAAGTCTGCCTTTCCGTAATGGATGGCAAACAAATTTCGGTGCGTAATTTTTCTCTTTCACAAAGCGGATCGTGGAATACATCAACAGGGACCTTGCTAAAAGCATCATGAATTAGAAAAAACGCGATGCATTCGTAATTTCGCTCATACCGCTATTGAACACGGCAAAGTAACTAATTGACTGGCACGCGAATATTTAGTTTTCATTGGCAATTTGTCGTCAATGACGAACACTTGATGTGGCCAGGAGAGATTGTGTGGAGTCTTTAGAGTTATCTCCCGTTGGTCACCCTGGTTTCCTCCCACGCAAATCCAGACACTCGTTCAATGTACAATACCAAACGTCCCAATTCGACATCCTCCTGAGCAACAGCCTTGAGGCTATTGTTGGATAAATTGGTGTACTTTTTTCTTCTTCTTCACAACACTTTTTTGGACCACCCCCCTTGATATGTATATATATTTACACACTTTTTTTCACGTGAAGAATTGTGCATGCCGCTTTTGCTGGCGCAAATTGTTAATGAGCAAACCCCACAGGGTTATTTCAAATGAGGTTGGAACTATATTGTCAGCTGTCTTTACGCTGCAGGGTTAGAACATTACTTTTAATCCACGCACAGAATTAAAGTGGGGGGGTGGGAGGAAGACGTATTAAAAATAATTGCAAATGTTACTAATTACAGTTCACTTCACGACTTGCTAATTTGTTTCCCTGCGTTATCAAACAGAAGCCAGCATGAGTCACTTTCCCCCCCCCCGAGGGAAAAAGGGGACCAGTAAAACACGGAGGGGGAATTTCAGAGTTATTCAACTCTCAGCCATCGCCTGCATTTCATTTACAGCGCTTTGTGAATCCCCTGCGGGATGTTGGCTCCCACACACTGTGACGGTCACATGGGGGGTTGCTGCACCATATTTCACCACTTCGGTGCGAGCCACTGATGTTAGCCGTCGCCAGGAATCGGACTCAAGCTCCTCACGGGTTCACGGTGCAGTGCGCAAACCAACGCGCCACCATTCCCAAGGATACATGTTTTCATTTTCAGGTTTCAAAGTGAGTGAGGTACGTCAGTTGGTTGCAGTTCATTTTTTGGCATGTAAATATGTTTAAGTGATAACATACTCGTTATCCTTTTTATGTTGTTTTGCCTTATAAGCGTCACCACAGCTCAGACTATTTAATGCTCTATATCTTCACGCGATAATTGCCTCAATGTCTTCAGTGAGTCGAGATTAATGCTTTTGATCGTTTCATTTTTCTAGCACCGAGCGGCCATGTATGAAATATCGTTCCAGTGCACAGATTAATAGGGAACATTTTTAATCCCACGGTTTTCAAGGATACATTAATTGAGCAAATAAGAGTGACACTGGGATGAGAAGCACGTCTGAAAATATCCTCATCAAAGAGAACGTGTGTCAGAGAGCGGAAGTGAGACTGTTTGTTAATCTAGCATTAATCCAGAGAGCTAATTAAAACAGAATGTTCACTAAAAATCTCTGAGAAAATGGTAATGAGTCTCTTCAGCAACAGTGAGTCAAAAGACACCCAGGAAAATGTAACATTTTAAAAACGGTTACGGGCAAATATGTCAGGGGCTGCGATTTAAAGCAACGTCAAGTAAAAATGTCATATCTGTACACTCTATACAAGTCAGATCAGATGCACCACAGCATGAAGAGAAATGTAAGATAATATTCTGTAGATAAAACAAGGCAAAGGTGTGGGCCAGAATATCCTTGCACACATTACTCGAGGGAGCTCTGGAGGCCCCCTCTTGAGGTTATTTGGCCAACTCTTCCACACACACTCTTCAGATGCCCCACCACACGCGCGACCTGCCGACCGGCTAACTGTGGCGTCGACATTTATTCCGCAGTGAAGGTGAAATAAACTTGCACCGTTGTTTCAACTGCAGTGCCCAGAGATCTAACAGGCGCCCTGTGCACTTGCAAGTCCGCTGTGCCAACCATTGCGGCAGTTTCCAAATATTATATAAGATAGCCAGCCCTTATTTCTTTCACAGTTCAATCTATGAAGCAGCCCAACATTTAAAATTGTATACGTGCGGTATTCATATATGTAGAGAGACGTTCATTCCATATGTTTCTAGAGCCAGTCATATATATGTGTATATATATGTGTGTGTATATATGTGTGTATATACGTTGTGGAGAGCGGTAGTGTAGCGGTTAGCGCGCTGCGCTATGAACCTGGCGACCCGGGTTCGATTCCCGCTCACGGCTAACACCAGTGACGATTATCTGAACCGGTCCTGGGCCTCCCCTAGGTCGACTCAGCCTTAAATGAGTACCTGGTGCGGTGTGTAAACATCGCCACTGGGGAGACAAAGGCGGTCGGGCGTGGTGCTGGCCACCCACCCCCTCGTGTACCGTTCCGGCCTTCATAGGTGCTCGCTAACAGCACTTGCCCCTACAGTCTGTTAAGGCTATACGGGGGATCTTTGTCTTTGTATATACGTTGGGCATGGTGATATGGTGATCGCCACACTGCTGAAATTATACTGACTGAAGTTTGACTCCTGAACTTGTACATTAAAAACAAGATCAGCTTCTCTTCTGGTAAAAACAAGGCTGGCCAACCCATATTGGATGTGCATTGCATAAGTATGTACAAAAAAACACATATAAAGATTCCCGAATAGCCTTTTTAGAAAGTTGGAGCAGCACTGTGAGGGAGTCGTGTGGTCAGGACCATGCCAGTGCTGATGTTTGCACAATGCACCAGGTGCTAATTTAATGCTGCGTTGACCTCGGTGAGGCCCTGGACTGGTTATGATTTTATTCACCGCTGGTGTTAGCTGAGGCAGGGAATTTAACCCGGGTAACCACAGTTTTGTAGCAGAGTGCACTGACCACTAAGCCACCACTCATCATGAATATAAAAAGATATATAAATGTGAAGGATGAGTTTCAGATTAAACATTTCCATGATTGTATTTTCAGATATGTGTGTCTAATTTAGGAGTATGTGCGCACTGACGTGCATTATATTTAATGTTAGCATTTTTAATGTTTTAAATAATTTAATTCAATTATTTAACATAAAGTCTCATCGATAAAATAAATTTAATGTTTTCCAAATGATTAAATCAGGCAAAAGTGACGTGATGTACCGTCAGCAGGAAAAGCACGGAATTGTCACCATGACAATGACATCACATTATTGGATCCACCCGAAATTTCATATCTGGGCCAGATTTTTGGATTGTTCAAATTTAATCCTAAATTATAAACACATCCCTCACATATAATAGCACAGCATACGCAGGAAGTGGAAGACTGCCAGGGCCTGACTGATTGACAAATAATTCACTGTACATGCAGCAAGACACGTTGTCTTGTTGTTGAGCATTAGAGTTCCTCCCAGAGCCCGAGGGTCGAATGAGTTATTTGCACAGATGATGCAACAGAAACCCTGGGGGCCTTTGTCTTCCCCACGGTGTTGCTGCCACTCACCAAAATCAATGCAATGATGGAGATGGTGTAGAAGACGGAATCTCGGAAGAGCGACCACCAGGTGAGACGCACGATCTGTAACAAGCCACACAAAAGGGGATCGACTCGATGCCAAACCGCGACTTTTCACTTCGTCCGCTTTCCATTGTCGCTTTGGAGACCGGGGAGATCGTTGGTCGATGTTCGGTCGCCGCGTCGACGGCGTTCTTCGTGATTTTTCACTTAACAGAGCGGAGCCTGCGCGAAGGCTGCCATCTTCCCCGACGAGACCGTGCGACTTATAACGACGCAATGTCCGATCCGCTAATACGAAGCTGGCATCGCAGTGATGCACAACTCCGCTGCTCCCGACGCGGTTGTCTAGCTTGCCCACCTGAATGTGAAATTGTAGATTGTTGCATCTACATCAGTCATTCGAAATAACAATACTTCATCCGCACTGTTGTTTTTTAACACACGAACCTGCTGCTGGGCTCTTCCGAGGGCTCGGTGTGAGCATCGGAAGCCGGGACCGAACGCGACTGAATCGAGAGCAAAACTAATTACAAAATTCCCAGGATTTACCAGATGCACATAAAGGACAACATTCCCATGCATGTGTGTAAGTTGAACTTCTTTCGCACCACACGTAGCCAGCCGTGCTAAATGGAGGGGTAGGAACATCGCGTACGCACACACACGCGCTGTTTCCACGATTTGACGAACAAAATGGTGGAGGCATTTGTAAATAGTGGTCATTTTGCTAAAAGATACGGAGTTGAAGGTTGTCAATAAATGTGTTTGCAAAAATACTGCCTGTCACGGTGGCGAGCTTCTATTACACACATCATGCACATGCTCTGAACAGCTCTTGGCTGCGTAATCGTTTTGAACTCAATAATTCACAAAAAGCCGTAATCATATGGCATGGGGTTTCTAGACATACCACTTGAAATGGGGAAAATAGAAAATCTGAAATCGCACAGTGTCCGTGCGTATACTCAGGACATTTTGTCCGAACCCGCACAAACCAGCCCTGCAGGCAATTTGCGGGTAATGTTTCAAATTCAGCAAAATTTGGACCATGACGTCTGCACGCAATGGCCTATTCTGGTGAACGAAGTCAACTGAGTATCAAAAAGGGCTTAAGCACGTTTTACGGTTAATACACCACCGCAATATTAACCAGGGCGGCTGCTGGACCCGAACCGTGAACTTCTGCGACGAACGACAAACATCCTACCGCTTGGCCACGTCACCGCCTCCATGCATCAAGGGCAAAGCGACAAACATCCCTGTATTTTTGCATGCCTAGTGCCTGCACGTGGTGCATGCCCCTTGCATAGCACATGTATTGATCTGTGGCCTTATCTACTCCATATATATGTGGCAAGGAGGCTGGAGCACACTCGTAATATCACGTGCATGGACGTAATGAGCTACCACGTGTTAAACACCCGTGATATACACAGCATATTGCTCATGAATACTGCGACATATATGAACTTGACAAGACATGGTTTAAAAATTAATAATTGACAAACCCTGCGAGCTCTTTTAGTGTAGAAAATGTTTCAAATCCATCATCAAAGACTGTTTATTTCCCCATACCCTCAAAATCATGTGGCCAACACATGCCCCTTTTGGGAAATATGACATACACACACTACCAGTTGCAATTGATGTAACAATCCCATTTCATGCAATACTTGCATCGTTACAGAAAATAATAGGCAGTGAGGAGCAGTGTTGATTTAGCATTTGAAAAACAAATTTCATCAGTCTTGGTCTCATCACGCAATATATGAAAAGGACGTCAAGTGCTAAAATGGCTCGCGTGTCATACAACATCTCAGCAGATTTATTTTACACAACTACTGTGATATATGGGCAGTCAATATTTACCATCGTGATCTGTAGAATTTAATTCTGCACTTAAAAAAATGCTTATGACTGTAAGGATCCAGCTGTGCATCCAATGGAGACACAAAATGGAATTTTGACGTAAAATAATCTCCAAATTACGCACAAATTCATCACAGTTTGATGTTTCAAAAGTATTATTCCTCTCCAGACTGCAAAGCCTTTGCTTTTTTTGTTTTCATTTTTGCAACAACAGTAACGGTAGTAACGAAACAATCGCCGTAAAAAGTTAGTCGATTAAAGAGCGCACTTTGAAGTGCAATCACAAACCCCCACTGGGCCAAGAGTCCATACATTTTCAGATGACAGCAAAAGCATGAGAGCCGACGTTACCACAGTGACCAGACAACACGGGGTCCAAGCCACGTAGAAATCGGTTTGAAGCATTTCGCACAATTCCGCCACACGGGGTTAGAAATTGGGCAACAGTGACCGAGCCCAAAATCCACGCACGGCACGACGTCGCGTATCACCCGGTCGGCTTGGGCAATTGAGGCGACGGCGGATATGTGAAGAGGTTCGGATTTGTGAAACTCTTCTAGCAAATTACAGTTCCTCCACGCACGCCGTCTGCGGTGGTTGGAGGGTGCCGGAGAAACAATGAGTGGCGGGTCAAGCGATGCGCGCAAAATCCTTTCCTCATGCACACACCGGGGGGGGGTGGGGTTGAGAGCTCGAGCAGAATGCACGATAGACAAGAGCCCCCTTCCCCCCTCCCAGACCCTCCACCCCCCTGCCCCCCCCCGCCCCCACCTTAAGTTTTGTATGCCCCCCACCGCTTTGCGCAAGGTCACGTTATGGATATGGGTGTCCCTCAGCCTGAAGTGGAAATTTCACCTCCGTGTGAGGTGCACTAGTCTCTCCACAGGACAACCAAGATTGATTTCCCGCAAAGTTGAAGTTTACTTGATCAAACTTGACAAGGTGAATGGTCTCTCGGCCTTAGCTGACCAGGATTTGAACTTCTGCACGCTGTGATTTTGAGTTGGTCACTATTGTACCACAATGCCACTCACATGGATTTGCAATCAAGATTAATGTCGGAAATTATGATGATGATATTTACAATAGGTTCGAGGTGTTTTTGTAATACATTTACATGGGCCAGATCGCATTTAATAAAAATGTTTTTATGACAAGAAATTTTGATTGTAGCAATGTTCAGCCGTTCTCCTGAATTGACAGATCGGATGTGCCAGAGGGTATCCGATTACGACTCGATCCGACGGTGCACCCTTCCTGCAGACGATCTTGCTCTTCAAAAATCTCCCGTTGATGTAATCTGCTTCACATCTTTCACCTATCTCCACGTGCACGAGGCCGTGTAAAGCCAGGATCCTGTTTTACTCCTCTTCCATATGACACTTTCATAGGTTCTCCACCAGACCCGGGTTTGACCCGAACATTCTTGGAATTGGCATCTGAGTTCGAGTGGCAGCAGGAATTGATTTGTGCCGAAATCTAGTCCCGGTGTTATTGTGTCGAACATTATTACGCTCTATTGCAAGTATAAAAGACCTAGGCTGAATCACGTCCGGGTTTGGTCTTGGAAAGAGGTGACAACCCTATACAGTACAATCCCCACCCCCACCCCAGCCTCTCAACCCTCTTTCCTCCTTGAACCTGAACCGACTCACATCCATGTACACCCCTAACAATGGACTGCCTACGCAGCATGCACCACTCACGAAGGGATGGTTCAAGGGTTACGTCAATGCGTCTGTTATTTAGCCTCACGGGAGCGTTGTGAGATTCGTGATGGCTTTTGAAATTGAGACGTGAAGTAGCTGCATCTGGCGTGATCTTGAAGCTCGATGCAGACCCCCATTGGCGAGAGGAAAGTAAATATTAATCGATGAAACCTTTCATCATGACGTTGCTGTCAGCGCAGATCTGTACCGGTTTTTAAGGATTATGAAGATTGATGATAATTTCTTTCGTCTTTCCTCTCCCCAATATTGTTACAATTGCACTCTTGGTGCCGTGTCGTAAAACAAAACGAAAACATCTTCTTGGATCTTTCGGTAAAGTCACGTAGAAGGGAAGTAATAAAATAATAAAAATAAAACATAAAACATTATGTTTTATTTTATTATTTAAAAAAAATAAAACATTATGTTTTATTTTTATTATTTTATTAATTCCCTTCTACGTGACTTTACCGAAAAAACCAAGAAAATGAATCCCTGCAGTCACGAAAGCTTTAAATCGAAAAACGAAAACAGCGTATCCCTAATTCTGAACTCTCACAGAGGAGGGCATCGCTGTGAGAGGACAGCCGACGGCAGGAAATATCACGGAAGGACTTCTGAGATTCCTTCGTGAGACCTCTTAGGGGCCGTCCATAAATGACGTCACGCGATTTTGGAAGATTTTTTTACCCCCCCCCCTTCGTCACAAGGCGTCACACAAAGTCAGACCCCCCCCCGCAAATATGATGTCACAAAGCTCTGCCCCCCCCCCCAAAAAAAAAACATGCTTCAAATCGCTTTAAACTATTGTCATTGTAGTGCGTATTTAACGTGGCGCTGCACTCTGATGTTGTAGGAGAAAACATTTATCAAAAAGTCAATTTAATTAAGTAGAACGTGTTTTCTATATTTATTTAAAGTTGCGCATTTGGATGTGACGTGATATTTCTCACCCCCCCCCCCCCCCCCATCGTCACACATCGTCACAAATGTCTGACACCCCCCCCCCCTAGGTGCGTGACGTCATTTATGGACGGCCCCTTAGTCACACGCTCTACTCTCTCACGCACCCTGCCACGGAGGCAGTCACTCCGAAATGTTTCATTCTCATCGCTGGAATTGTAGCCAAATGAAGTCGGTCACAAATCTCGACGCGGTTTTTCGCGTGCACAGGCATCGGCGACTGGGCTGAGACCGTCAAATCCTCGCGCTTTCGAACCTCGTTTTAATCGACGGCGGCTAAAACCCGAGATTCACACCCAAGATCTCAGCGATACCAGCTCAGTGCTCGGAGCCACCCGGCCACCTCGCGTTGCCTTTGTTAATGCCCACTGAATAGTTGGTATGAGCAAAGTGAAAACAAAATAGCCGCAAACTTCAATCACTGACTCCTGCAACCCACATTGAGGGACTCGTTTCTACCAGAAGGTTTCATCTCCTCCGCATCGCGGTCGCTCACCACGCTGCAAGTCACCACACCTCAGTTTCCACTTCTTCCCTCGCACCGCTCCACTTTGACACCCCCCCCTCCCGTGTCCTCATAACCTGATCATTGCTCAATTGAGAAAGAAAAAAAACCGTATCAACTCCCATCGATTAAACCATCGACAGCGCTGGTTGTTGCCGCTTGGCGTTATTGATACAACCGAAGAGACTGGCTGGCTCCACCTCGACCCTCACCGCGTCTCTCTGCTCACCTGACCGGCGAAGAGGCCGCACACCCCGATGATGCAGAGGATGTTGAAAACCGCCGAGCCAACGATCGTCCCGACGCCCACGTCGCCCTTGGTGACGAACACACCTTCGCACCAGATCGCAAAGACAAAGGTCCCCCGTGTAGCCTTAACAGGCTGTAGGGCCAAGTGCTGTAAGCGAACACCTGTGAAGGCCGGCACGGCACACGAGGGGGTGGGTGGCCAGCACCGCGCCAGGCCACATTTATCTCCCCAGTGGCGATGTTCACACACCGCCCGTGGCCGGAGCAGATAATCGTCACCGGTGTTGGCCGTGAGCGGGAATCGCACTCGGGTCGCCGGGTTCGTAGTGCAGCGTAGCGCTAACCGCAATGCTACAGCATCAGACACACACACACACACTGACACACACCTACACAAGTTCCACGTACAACGAGGCCTCGAAGGTACCGTCAGTCGTGAAGGAGCTATCGTGAGACAGCGGTTGCAGCTATGTCGATGCAAACTCAAACACCTTGGCGATAAAGGTTAAACACGATCAAGGTACAGCCCTGCAATTGCTTGTTTGAAGGCTCTCCACTCGTGGGAGCTTTAGAGAGCATCTCTCGAGGGTAATTGGCCTAATCCCATGCTGGCCAGATGTCTTGAAAGAGGGAGCGAGGGGGGGGGGGGATTACCTACACCTTACCCCATCACATAAGAACTGCCAATTCACTCACTTTTATGGCACTCTTTTCTAATGCCGGGTGGATAGAGGCAGTGGGCGGATTGAAGAAACTTGTCACCGTTGCTTCAACCGCCGCGCCGCGAGATCGAATTGGCGACCTGTGGATTGCACGTCCGGTGTGCCAACCGTCACTCGCCGGCAGCGTCTCAAGCACGTGGTGGAATGAAGGTTTTTTTGTATCGTGCTTGCATCAGTCTCCTTCTAAACGTCCACGTAGCTGCGATGGCGTTGACAACTCACGTCACCGCATCGCACATGCTTCTGCGGCTGTCTGGAACGCTCTTCCTTCCGATATAAGAAACCTCTTGGCGCTATGCACTTGAACTGAAAACTAATTTCTTTAGAGTACGTACGTACGATTAACTTTTTTGTTTGTACGCATCGTATCGAGCTTACGGAGAGCGACAGGCATTTTTCTCTACCACTCATTTAAAAATAAAAATGTAAATATACATTGAGAAGTTGCATTCCAGCGCTTCAAAAAAGTACGGTTAAAACTGCTGTCTAATTACATTTGTGATGGGTACATCACAGGTGTATTTGATCGGTGAGTAATTGCGTGTGGTTGGAGTAAAGTGTGGCTACTCTCAAATGCCCTCTGGAGAGGGAACTCTCGAGAGGTGACCTCTAATGGAGGCCCTCACGCCAGCAGGGGGCGTGAGGAAGCACATGCAGGGCTGCACCTTTACCTTTCTCTACCTTTAGCCTCAACGAATTGGGCACCCTGCACATTTTGCCCCATGTGTTCCTAACGTATAGAGTTAAACGCAATAAGCAATAAGGTATGCCACCACTACCGTAAATACACGGCAGCGTATTTAGTGAGAATGCGATGATATTCAATGTAATATTTACTCGACAGCCACATGTCAGAAGAGGCAAATTACCGGTACAGTTCACGTGGCACACGGAATGACAGTCCCAAAGCCTACTTGTCTTCTGAAATGCACACGACCCTGCAAGCTAAGCAGCACTTTAGCCTGGTGGGCACTTGGATGAATATCTGCTAGAGATTGCCAGGTGTTGTAGTCAAGGAGAGGTGAGGTGGCCAGGAGCTGGCAGTGCCGAGTGTCATCCTCCCCGACGCGGGGTTTAGTATTTGTTTGGGGAGCTGTCGTATGCTTGGGCAGAAATGTAGCCTTGAATCTATCCGTGCGGAGTTATGAGTGTTACCACCCTCAAATGCCATTGGGGGGTTTCTCTCTGCGCACTCCACTTTCTCGCTACGTGAAGCTTCACCATGAATTCATGGAAGTGGTTAAATATCCCAATATATGACTAGAGTGCTGACAAAAAACATTATTAAAACTTGAGTGAGGCTTTCCTAAATACAGGACATTATTAATACGACTATTTTACAACCACATCTACAATTCCTGTGTTTTCTCATCCACCAGCCTTCCTTTCGGTCTCCCTCAAATGGTCCGTATTTAGCAGACAAAGCAAGAAAAAAAAGCTGTAATGTCAACAGCAAGGAGTTACATAACGCCAGCACAAAATATGGTCAGCCCAGGAAGGCTTCAACGTTACATTTGCATTCCGTGAACAGTGAATCCAGACGCTACATTAGTTCCATGGCGTGATTTTCCATTCTAATGCATACCACAAAAAATGCACACTTTGGATATTACATTAAGTGCAACTATCCAGTGAGGTTGTCTGAGGCGGTAGAACGGAAGGTTCCTGGCTGGTGGGAGGTGGGGGGGGGTTAACTCAGCCCATCATCCACCTGGGGTTGATCAAATTAGTCGCGCTTTACGGGGATATCAAGACCGCTCTCGTGCTCTGGCCAGACTCGCCCCCGCCAGAGGAATGTGGAAATGCTACCACTGGATCAAGGCCTGTGAAGACGTAGATGAGCATCGCCGCAGTGCTCATTTGAGCGGGTAACCACTTTGTGTGAAACAGTAGAGCATGTTCATCGAGGTGAACAAGGATGCCCGTGTATAATTTAGGCGCACGGCTTCGCCATTAAGAGGCAAATATGGTCACATTTGTGAAGTGCGACGAACTGGAATACGAAGACGTCGAATAAAGTAATTTCCCGCGTCTTCTTGGTTCTTTCGGTAAAGTCACGTAGAAGGAAAATAATAAAATAATAAAAATAAAACATTATATAATAATTCTCACGACGTTTCGGCCACAACGCAAGCAGCCGTCTTCAGGTGGAGAACAGGTCTGCGTTGTGGCCGAAACGTCGTGAGAATTATTTGAATCTTTTATTTTTATTATTTTATTATTTTCCTTCTACGTGACTTTACCGAAAGAACCAAGAAGACGCGGTAAATTACTTTATTTCCTTTTTCTCCCGCATCCGCTTTGCGTAAACATTCGGTGACGTTTTAACGTCCACGTGGGGCCGTTCGTGGCCGGGGATAGAGGCACAACGACACCCGGGACATATCACGGGAAGGAGGAGAAGAGGATCTCGCAATGCCACAAGAGGAGAGAACTGCGGGGTACATGCATCGTCTTGAGTGCCGTAGTAGTAGTAGTATTATTACTTTTAGGCATGGTTGGTTTCGGAGTGGCTTCTACACAGCCGACCCAATGTGCTTGTCAGGAGAAGCAAACCACGTGGATCATCCCCTGAGATGGCTCTGCAGCACCACAGATTTGGCAATGCCAACACCAGAAGCGGTGGTCCTGTGCAGAATATTGGGGAAAGATCTGTATATAGGTTGGCCAAGGAGAAAGGACGAAGAATTATCTTAGGAGACTGACAAAAACTTGGACTTTTAATGTCCCTGGAAGAATGTCTTTCCGACAGACCTGTTCTTCACCTGAGGACGGCTGCTTGCGTTGTGGGCGAAACGTCGTGAGAATTATTTTATTATGTTTTATTTTTATTATTGTATTATTTCCCTTCTACGTGACTTTACCGAAAGAACCAAGAAGATGAGTCCCTGGAAGACTTGCAGGTTCCCGGGACAGCAGGAGCAACCGCCTCAACAAGAGAAAGGGGATGTTTTTATTTATCTTTTTTAAACAATGCTTCGGTGCTAGTGAGGTATAGGCAGAAATAACAACAAATAAGGAAAAACACGTTAATCAATTCCACTGCCCTGACAGGAAACCCAATAAATAACAGGTGACAATTGTAGATCAGAACTCTATTAAGAAGAGCCATTGCCCGAAACACCGCCGACTTCATATTTATTTATTCCCTTATATAGGACCGCGTCATCGTCGAACGTGCTGAACTCGAACAACAACAACAAAAAAGGACGATCCTGGGAAAACCAGGACGGGTGGCAACCCTCTCGGACCGGGAAACGCGACGGGAGAAAAAAAAACTGAAATAAAAAAACACAAACCCCGTAGAGTTGCTCTCTCTCGCGCGCGCGCCTCGAGGCAACAGCGAGGGGGTGTTGGCAGGGTGCTGCTATGGAAACCGTCCATGCAGAGCCCTCGCAAAGAAGCACTAAGGGATGAACGATTTGGGGAAAATATCTAATTGCGATTTTTTTCTGACGAGATATTGCGAAGTCAAGCTTTAGTTCAATATTTTCAACATGTGATGGAGCATTACCACATGATATCATCAAAATATGAACTGTTCTATATATTCTAATACCAGGATTATAACTTAAAAGATATGAATTGCTTCCAACATATATTTACTAAAATGTTTTAAATGAAATAGAACAGTAGTAGTAGGTTTTCACCCTTTAAACTGGTACAAAACTGACATCTTTATACAAGGCATCATGTTTGCAATAACCGCAACACAAGCAGTCAAAATGCAAACAAAAAGAAACAACTCTGATAATGGTAATGATATGCACTGTCCTTGAAGTTGATTGGTCCACACCCGAGACAGCTTTCCTTAGAGCCTAGTCTCCATTGGTGTTGGACCTGATGACGCCAGAAGACGTACAACTCAAAAACAGTGCACTATCAGAGTAATAGAACAATCAAACATAGAACAATGGTTAAGTTAAATAAGTAAAGTTATCCTAATAAAAATAAAACAACTCCAATAAGAAAGTAAGAGGACTTTTCAAATCGCAAAAAATCGCAGCCTTTGCCATTTGCTAATCGCATTGTTACAAATTGCGATTTAGATTTGAAATCGATTCATCGTTCAGCCCTACAAAGCACTGACGGCGTAGCCGGCTTGCGCGCAGCGCAAGATGACGGGACAGACCTTGACCTGAGGCGTTATTTATTTATTTATTGGGACAAGTTTTCCCAAAACGCGTTCTCGCGGTTTCCCTTTCGTTGTTTCCCCACGCACCCCACGCCCGCCCACTGCGCTGCTCAGCAGTAGAATCTTTACCATTTGAACTGAGACTAGCCAGCAGCAGCATGCGCTAACTTACCGGCGTGTTTTGCACTGGATATTCTCTTTTTTCAAACGACGCGGTCAGTGCGGTTTGAACAAAGGGCAAAATTACCCACGTAATGACGTGTGCACACGTCCCATTGTACATGTAACACGCACAGTATACACACGCATACCGTGCCACGGAAAAATGCACGCGTGGAGAACCCAAAAATAGCCGTACAATATTATATTACGTTATTGATACAATGTTTAGAAATGTAATAGTGTCGCTACATTAACCTAGAAAGCGGTAAGCGGAATGGGAGGGATCCATCAGAGCCAAGTCAAATCGCAACCATGAGCTGAACTTTCCCAATCTGAAACCAAATCTTGAATTAAATTCAACCCTTCGTTACTTGAGCTTGAAGTACAGCGCTCAATAAATAAAAACGAATTACAATGCGCCATTATTTGTAAGCGTTGCAAATGCGGCCGGAGTAGGCACCGGCCGTGCGGATTTGGCATCGGATTACGGCGATTCGGCGCACGGAATCGGATTCGTAGTAAAAAAAAGAACTAGATTCCTAAATCCTGATTGGGATTCTTCCATTTCGTTCCATTCTCAAAATAAATATTCCGTGTCCAGAAAATGTCATTCATCCTTCATTTACTCGATACGCACAAAGGGAGTGCATTGCGCACGGTATTGTGAGTTATCTGTCCATGTTAGGTCTCTGTTTGGAAATCGGGAATTGTGCCTTCTTTTGATCACATCTTTATAATCCATTAAATTTCCTGGAAGCATGGAACAAATCGATGCTTAAAAAATACCCACGGAAAGTGCTTTTGTAAAGACACCCTAAATGCGCTTGGATATTGTCAGATGTCAGAAGCTAAGCAGATTTCGAGCCAAGTTAGTGCTTGGATACGTCATCACTGGGGCTTGCCAGGTGTTGTAGGAACGGGCTGCTGGTAGTATTTCAATTATTGTATGTATTGTACGAAAATTCCTTAAAAGGTAAGTCGTTTTTTCTACGCTTGGATACATAAAGGATATACCGTAATATTAAAGGACAAAAAAACTGACTTCAGTGACCTTCAAAAATGTATTACGTTTGGTTCAACGCAAAGCTATAGCAGATAATAATTATGCAAACACAAAAGTAAATGTCAAAATTAAATTATATTCCTAAACATATACATTGCCGCTGACGGTATCAATCTGGTGCAATTACATTAAAGTTTACACGGCTTCTCATTAAACATGGGTCATTCTGCTATGGAGACCACACATTTAATTCCGCATTTCACGGGAACCCAGATACATGTATTATAATTTTTTTCCTTTCCTGGGCAGAGCGGCGAGCAATATTTGTTACAAGCGTGCAATTTTCACTGTACTTCGCAAGGGACTTTGTGTCCGTCTGGATTAATTTACATATTTATCTCGAACCGTTCAACTGCAATGGGTCAAAAGTGGATTAGAAAAAAAAATTCTACCCTTCTTAACCCCGTCACCTCCCATTTAAAAAAACACCGACCCTGCTAACGAAAGGTGGAACATAATGCTCCTTTGGCATTTAAAGGTGGAACGATTCAGCAACAGTTAATATTTGTTACGACTCTTCTTGAATGTTTGTTTAAAAAATTATTTTTGGTGAAAAAAATTACTCCAAAAATATGCGGTGGACTGGGGCAATTGAGGGACATGGGGTTCACCGATTGCGTCCGTCTGCCAGGGGTTCGTGTCTGTTTGCCACGGGTTCACCGGTTGCATCCATCTGCCACGAGTTTACCGATTGCATCCATCTGCCACGGGTTCATCGGTTGCATCCATCTGCCACGGTTTCATCAATTGCATCCGTCTGCCTCGGGTTCACCAATTGCATCTGCCTGCCACGGGTTGGCGATTGCGTCCATCTGCCACGGGTTCAGCGATTGGTCGCCATGCGAAAGCCCAAACTTGGTTTAAATTCCTTCCGTGTAACGGGCCCTTATATCTGGGAAAACCGAGCGAAAAATGATTTTCGCATAAAAAGCTTATCGTCCTTGTCCGAACTTAAATCACTTTTTGGATCTCAGATTTTCTTTTAAGTGTACGTGCAATTGGTCGCTCTCTTTTGCAGACGTTAATTGATACTTTTGTTTGTAAAATGTGATGCGTTGTGCTGCTGGTACCGTGTTGATGGACGACCTTGCAATTAGGAACGTGACCATGCGTTCAGTCGTTATTGGATTGTTTTGTTCGCGTTTTTTGTTGTTGTTCCTGTTACCAGGTTTCTAGAATGTAACCAAGTGTCCGTGTCGAAAATGAGCATATATCGCCCAATGGGTTTTACCCGTGCCAAAATCAAACATAAACCTAAAAACCTAAATCGCATGCCCTCTCTCAGTGTCGCACGTTATATTACGTGAAGAAATGAAACGACCCGAGCGGAGGAGGAGGAGACACTTTACCGATGACGGACGTGAACAGCTCCGGAGCCGAGCTGCCTGCCGCCATGAAGGTGGCTCCAGCCACATCCTCACTGAGCTGCAGGCGCTGCGATGGACACGCGGGAGGAGGCACGCGGGAGGAGAAACACGGGAGGAGACACGCGGGAGGAGACACGCGCGCACACGTGTTGAGGCACGGCAACATCTCGTGCGGCGTTTCGTTGTGGAAAAACACAGACGAGGTGACAGGCAAATCTTCTCAACTCGTCATTTTGTTTTTAACCTACACGTATATACGGGAACAAATGACCACGAAAAGCATTACGCAGGTATTCGCGGTTGTGCTGTAACACTCTGAATGATGTCTGACGTTTCGCTCCACCTGCAGGGAGCTTCTTCAGTTCCCGAAGAATGTCCATGAAGGACCTCCCAGCACGGTGGAGGGAAAACATCGGACATCGCACCAAACAACAGGTGGTATGACCCGAAAAATAATAATCACAAAGTAAAAAAAATATGTAAACCATGCTGTGAGTTTTCGCATTTTAGCCCGTTTATATCTGCAATATTTGCCACTGTACACGTGCAGTAAGCCCCGTGAGAGGTGCGTATCTTGGCCAATCGCCACTGACCGGCGTGTGTAGAAATATGGTCACACATTTTTTTCCCCCTCAGTTGGTTTTGGGGAGATCTTCATCCAGCATTTGATAGATCATGGCTGCGAATGAGGATGATGATGTAGTCACTAGATCTTAATAATCGTTTTGAATTACTCCCATGTGCATCAACATGTTGTTCAGGCCTGCGATTTGTAAGAACACGTGTCTTCAACAGACAACAGCTGTGATGACGATTTCCGATGATTGGATTTCTGATTTACGTGATCACATGACGCGCATTGATTTTTGGCTTTGTTTGTTATTGGATTATATCGCTGGACATTTATTGCATGCTGTAAATTTGAAGTAAATAGTAATAACCACGTGAACCATATATTACATGTATTTATAATTACTGCAAGAACACAATTACATAGCGAGCACTTATCAAGGCTGATGGGGTGGAATAACCAGCTTCTATCGCTTTTTGTGTCTATAAACCTCAACAGCGATTCATCTTAGGTGAAAATAACTTCGAAAAGTCACACGATAGAATCAGAATATGCATTTTCTAGCATTAACACTCATCACAATACGACTCTATAGAATGTTGGGGCGAGGGCTGTTAGTAAAGCACATATGAACACCGGCAAAGCACACAAGGCGTGGTTTGGTCAGCACCGCGCTGAGCCACCTTTGTTTCCCCAGTGCTGATGGTCCAACGCCGCAAAATAGTCACCACTGATGTGAGCCGTGGTCTGGAATCGCACTCAGGTTGATGGGTTTGTAACGGTGTGCTAACCACTATGCCACCACTCCTCCACCCACCCACCCCTCCCCGACCGGCGCTCCCCCCCCTGTCAATCAACTTCTAGATGAGGAGGGCTCCTCGCGCCGTAGTAGTCATGGGCGTTGCTTGAAGAAGCTTCACCGCCTGATGAAGACCGCTTGTGTTGCGATCGAAACGTCGTGGGTTTTTTGCTTTTATTATTTTCAATGTATTTTAAAAAAATTTAATTTTCATTTTATTTTACTATTTTTATTGTGGTTTTTGCTTTAATTATTTTCAATGTTTTATTTTTTTTTCATTATTTTTATTTTAAAACGTTTTGTTTTACATCTACGTGACTTTACCGAAAGAACCAAGAATATGAGCTTCACCACGCTGATTTACCGTCGGCTGGTGACGGGAGGGATGTCCCCAGATCCAGCTTGAGACGTCACTCGCCGCCGATATCGGCCGTGGCCGCCGAATCAAGCTCAGGCCACGCCTCTCGCCCAGTGCTTTTCACTGATTTCACATTTAGTGTATTGTCGGGGGCTGCACGCCAGGGGCCTCCGGTGGCCTCACGTTGAAGAGCGCTGCTCTAACCACTGCACCACCGCTCCGTACACGACGTTTACCAGCATTACGTTCGCGGCAGTACCTCGGAGATTTTTTCCAGCGATGGGACGAAGAAGTCGTCGCACACCAAGGCCAGCGCGTAAAACATGTACATCGTCTGCGGGAAGGAGGCACGGATAGAGAATACACCGGGAAAAGATCACGGTGACGAATATGATTCATTAAAGTTTCAGTATTGAGGTGAGGTCACCCTTACACCGCTGCTGTGCCTGCGTTTCATAAGCTTGATCATGACTTTGAATACACTTTCTTTTTTTTTTACAGCGCTCATTTCTAGATTGGCGTTGTAAACTTTCAGGCAACAAAACAAAGATAAGCGCTCAAACAACTCATTAGCCGCTTCTGACGAGATTAAATGAATCTTGGGAACGTTTAATGTTCTTCACAGACAAGGATATTACCTAAATGCCTTTTTATCTGAAGTTGACTGGGATGAAATTAAATTGAAGTGAGGTTCATTTCATTTTAACTGCCGTAGTTACCTCAAACTCATTTGAGCTGTATGTCGCACAACCGAATTGCGCGGCATATTGCCACCTTTAATTAACTTGTTTGATTCTTTTATTGCAAAGGGGACAGAGTCAGCGCCTTAAATATTGACAGAGTAAAAATAAAATGAACCCACATATGAGGTGGATGGGTGGCTCAGAGGTCAGAGCAATAATCTGGTACCAGAAATAAATGGGTTCGCATCCAGGCAGCTGCCTCAGGAAGGTCACCGATGACAGAACACACGAACAAACACAAATGTTACGTGAAATTGTGTTCTGCCCTTAATTTGGAAAACCTTTCAGCTCGGAGAATTAAATATCGGTTCGAGTGTCATTCAACGAGCATCACTGCAATGTGCATAGTGGGTGAAAAGGTCACGTGAAGGCATCTCAGAACTAGCTCCATAATAGCCGCTTCCAATGGGCCATGCTCTAACAAGGGCCACACTGCTCCGTGAGAGATCCGAATGGACACCGCATTTTGTCTCATGACATGACACCGATATCGCAAACTGAATACAATTACAACAATATTTTTTGAACCCCCAAGCAATTATCGCATTGTGTACTCACACAGAATACGTGAAGAAGCAAGCCTCCATGCTTCCTCTCGTCGTTGGTGAAGATGTCCGTCGGGAATTCATGAATCGCTGCCACAACACAAAGGAACAGCAGGGGGGGGGGGTCACACACGTGATTCAATACATTTACATGCTTAGCTTCATTGTCACGTGGTGTCAAGCATGAATGAATCTTGGTAATGCTGGCATGAGCATTACTGAAAGAACCAAGAATATGAATCCTTGCAGTCACGAAAGCTTTCAATCGAAAGATAACAACATTTTAATATTTTAATGTCAGTGAAGTAAAAGTAACCCTATGTTTCCTGACCTTTGGGTCACCCCTGTTCTGCAGGTTCAATGGTGCTGTTTGTTGCTGGACACTTGGAATTTGGGGCCTTTTTGGCCCTGTGCTCAACAATCGTCATCAAAAGAGAGCGATTATGCAATATTCCTTCATTATTAGAATGTTGATGCTGTTCATGAAATCAGAATTTACGAATACTGAATGAGGTTATTTGTTTGATGCATGATCATTCACGAACAAATTACTCACACTGTACCGGCGATGTACCTTTTTAAAAGTGTATAATTCCAGAAATTAAGAAAAATAATGGCCCAAACACTACATGTAAGCATCTATTAAAGTCAAATTAAATCATTCTGAAAAGATCACCTTTCCTAAAGAAATAGAATTCGTAAAATTTGCAAACATTGCAGAAATAACGTGATACCAAAAAAGGTAAAGGCGCTGCCGTGCAATGTCTTGCTCATGCACGCTGCTGACCGTAGGGCCTCTACTCGAGGGATCTCCAGAGAGTCCCCAGATATCTTTGGAGAGGGCGGGAGTAACAACACACTGCCCCACCCCATGGGACCTGCCAAACGCCTAACTGTACTTGCTCCATACACGCATAAAGCAAAGATAGCATATGTGTATGCATTGTTGAATCACAGGGAAATCTCTTAACAAAATCTAAACACCATCAAGACGACCTTATTTGAATAAACTGCCCTGGGGAAAGGAGTAGCATAAAAGGCTGCCCTATTGACATTCAACTTTATGACGTGCTTTAAAATTGTCCTTAATTACATTTTCTTTCGTACTAAAAAGGTTAGTGTGCCCGTTGTTTGGATCTTGATTAGTCACGGCTGACTTTCACTGTGTCTTATTGGCCGCACTCACTCTTCCATCTGGTATTATGAACACCTTGCTCAAATTCGTGATAAAAAAACATGGCTCAGGGATCAGAGCGTTTGGCCAGGCGCTGTTGAAAGTCTGGGTTCAAATCCAGGCAGCCGCGTGCACTTAAAATTGGGTTCTCAAGTGTACTCAGTTGATGTTCTCAGCCTGGCTACCAATGACTGCACTTAATTTGGTTAAAAAAAACATTCCAGCTCGAAGAACTACATATTAGGGTTGACTGTCACGTGACAAACCTCACTTTCATATGCAGAGTGAGTGTGAAGTGTCGCCCTTCTACTGTGTGCGCACCAGAGGCAACTCGAAGAAGGGATCGCAGAGGAAGCTCTGTGGGCCGTTCTCTGGATATGAAGGGTTTGAACCGCTCTGCGAAACGGTCTGAAAGGATACTTCATCTCCCCGCACCTCCGATTGGCACGGTTGGCTACATACGGTATGAACGAAGTTCAACATATGTACATACAACATACATATATCATGATGCCCATTGGGTTAGTGTTGGGGGGACTTTTTATAAAGGGTTCTCAAATCTAGTGGGTTGATGGTCTCAGCCCAGTCACAAAATGACTGCACAATAAACTATTATATATATATTTTTCAATTTGAATAAAAGTTTCAGAACTAAGAATGTATATTATGTATTGGTTTAACTGCCACGCTATAAATATTTCTCTGTAGCAGGGCATGTCACTCTGAAAATATCTCCAGTAGTAGTTCTGCAGTATCTCCTTCAATTGGCCGTTCTCTAGAACGGGGTTAGTGCACTGATCTCCGTGAGAGCTCTGAATGGATGCCTCATGCCTTGAGAGCAATTTCACAATTGGAATAAAACCGGAGAAAAGACGAAATATTGGTTTTGTCCATTAACTTTGTTGGGAATTCTCCTATTCATTTAGCTATTGTGCTTAATGTACGCACACCCACCAGGATGACTCACTTAGGATAGACAGCGTGAACTGATATTTCCTGAAACATTCCCTGGAGAAGTATTTTTGCAGGTTTAGTTTTTAATAGATATTGACCGGAACTTGAATGTCGCTTGTGAAGGTAGATATTCAGTTTTAAATCCAATGACTTTCAAATAGATTGAAACTTTATATATATATGTTCATATGTCGAATATTTTTTTCTAGAAGTTGTTGTTTTGATGTAATTTTTTACTTAGTATTTTTTTTTATTATACCAGGTAAGTCCCACTGAGATCTTTTTCAAAAGTGACCTAGACACAAATGATAGCTCAACGATGTGGCATATCACGTGGAAATTGATAGCAGCCAAATACTCGAAACGCATGTTTTTTAAATATGGAGGGAAAAACCGGAGGACCTGGAGAAAAAATCCCCGCGACCACGGGGAGAACACGCAACCTCCAAATATTCAGGCGTCAGAATCGTGATTGAACCCACGACCTCCTGTATACGAGGCGAGGTAGTTAACATCTCGCCACAGTGGCACTCCATGTATGCAAAAGCACTAGCTATCGCTCTCGATAAACATCACATCCACAGCTGCACACACGTCACTCGCAGTCAGATTTAAAATAAGACAACCATGATGGAGTATCGGTAAAAAAAGAACAGCTATTGAATAATAGTACTTTAATAAACTAGGGTTTCTAAGCGCCTTACATAAAGCTTAAGTTACTTGAAAACTAGGATAGTTTTAACGAATTAAAGAGTGCAAGATACTCAGAATCCATCACAAAGTTTTTTGTGTTAGATCGCATTAACATAAATGTGTCATTAACCAACCACCATCCGACAGACAATTAGTAAGGTCTGTCACGTAAACAAAACTTGCCAATTAGTTACTACTTGGAGAGTGAACCCACAACATTTACGATATGAGTATGACGTTTCGCTGGTGATTACAACCAGCTTCATCAGGCGATTTGCCATAATTTTGGCTCAGAATCCCTAATGGACCGAGGAAGGGAATTCCACAATCGTGGAGCCTGGCTGGAAAAAGCTGCGTCCGATACAGCAGCAGTGTGGCCTTTGGAATCGTAACATTAGGAGACCAGAATGAGTTGATATTTTGACATATTTAAATGTCTCTGTTTATTTACACAATGCCAATAGGATTGTACACTACATCGGCATTGATTAAAATAAAAACACAAACCAACGCAACTCTGTATTTTTATATTCCCCCCCCTTCGCTTTCTTCTCAAGAGCATCTCATGTTTAGATACCATTTCTTATTTTTATCAACACACGCACAAAACAAGCAACAGCTGTGCCTCTCTGGAGAAAATGATTCTAAATTAGAATATTTAATTGACTGCCATGCTAATTAATCCCCCATCTCCGCTTGCCCGTCCCGTCACTTTAACGTCAGCGGCACGCTAGCGTAGTGCGACTTGTGCCAGGGCTTACATTGTTTTTTGGCTGGAGCTGTCCGAGGCGGAGTTCAAGAAAAAAAAGATTCCACGCCAAGTGAAGCCCCTTTTGCTCGTGCCCAATTGCCAACTATGGCACGCCGGACAGACGCAGGGGAACAAACTCTCGCTGCCTTCCTAACGTCAACAAAACCTCCGCCGAGGTTCAAAGTTCATTTATTAGGTATAGCCCTGTGAGCCATTCGGCTCTTGAATCGGGTGCAACCGCAACAAACAAAAAACTAAAAGATGAACAAGAAAACATCTTAAAGTGACTATGTGCAAACAGAAAATCCAAGAAAAGACAGCAAAATATTGCAGAAAAATCACCGTACACCAACCCTGTGCAAATATCCCAGTGGGATGCAAATCAATCAACAACAACCACAAGACAACTCCACTGCCGTCGAGGATTGCTGAATAAAAAGGCGTTACGCGCCAGCGTGACGACTGAACGTGCTATTGGCTAACGCAGAGCGAAAATAAGCTACAGTATTTACAACGGAACGTTGACTGTTAGGAAAATTACGTGGGCTCGGGGGATGATGTTGATGGTGATGATGCTGCCGCCCGTTGGTGGGCTACTGAGCAGCGTCCAAGAGGACGTCTGACGTGGAGATGGAGTCATCGAGATCGGCTCGCGTGCAGCCGCTGGGGAGGCCTTCATCCAGCAGTGACCGTCGACGACGATGATGATGATGATGTGCGTGACCACAAGATGCGTGCGTTTTTGCAACTTTTTGGTGGACTTTTAAAATGTTTTATGAGGATTCTTTTTAAAGTATAGTTGGGTTATGCAACCAGGTTTATTGATAAATGTGCCTACTGTGTTAACGGCTTGAACGTAACGATGTATTGGCGGTAGTAGCCGATGAAAGAGCTGTGCACTGTAGGCGATGAATAGAGGCATTTTTTTCCTTCGTGAGCATTTATGTGCACCGAAGTACATTTTGAAAAAAGCAATTGATTCGGGAGCATAATAAAATTACGATTTTTTTTTCCAGGAAATTTCACCGAGGTTCAAGTCTAATTTATGGACGCGGTTTAATTTTCCTATTGGTTTTCTTCATGCAAGATATCACGCGTAAGTTTGGCTGCCGTTTTTCCGTGTGAAACTAGTGGAACTAGTGGAAAATACGTAGCAATGTGGACATGGTACTGGTATGTACATAAATTATAACATTATAATCAACAGCCCTTTGTGAAACCACTGCTGGATATAAGGCTCCTCCTCGTGGCGGATGAATGTATGCATGATGGACTTGTTTCACACCGTACGTAGCCAAGCGTGCGAATCGGAGGTGTGGCGTTGTTTGAACATACTTCACCATACCGGTCAGGGCGAGTTGATAAGACAGTGGTTACCCAGAACCCAGTGTTCGATGTCACGCGTCTATTTTGTCAACCACTGCTGGGCATCAAACTCACAAGTCAGCTCACCAGATCTGTGGTTGCAGTACGTTAACCAATCCCCCCCCCCCCATTCTATTTTTAATTCCTAAATAA